CCAAGGATGGCTGCAGACCACACATGGACGAGAGTGGCTGGAGAGAAATGGACGAGCGTGGCTGGACTCCGAGAGCGGGCGACAATGGCTGGACACCGAGCATGGGTGACAATGGCTGGATACTGAGAGCGGGCGAGGGTGGTTGGATACTGATAGGGGGCGAAAGTGGCTAGATACCGAGAGCGGGAAAGAGTGGTCAGAGTCTCAGAGCAGGAGGGTGTGGAGGGAGACACAGCACGGGGGAGGGTGGATGATCACACAGTGTGGGAGGGTGTGGCTGAGGACACTGAGCGGGAGGGTGTGGCTAGAGACCCAGAACGGGAGGAAGTAGCTGAGGACATGGAGCGGAAGGGAGTGGCTGCACATAATGCAGTGGCTTATCTCCTTACTTACTGGACAGCCCAAGTTGACATTTCTCCGTGGTAGTTGGGCCAACCCACCATGGGCCCACATTATTATGTACCTCATAGCCATGGGATGGGCCCAGGTGTGAGACCGTCCCCCTAATATACTGGGTGGGCCTGAGGTGGATAGCCTCCAAGGCTAATGGATGGGCCCACAGTCTAGATATTTCAGATGTACCATAATGCATAACTTAGTAGTCTTATGATGTATAGCCTATTACTGTTAAATCAGTACCGCAGTAAGGGGTGGGCCCATACATTGGTTGGCGAGATCGCCGATATGGATAATGTCCAGCGTCCGGCGGCACCGATGAAGACAGCGATAAAGGTTATGTAGCCTGTTACTGTCGGATTCAAAGGGTGGGCTGACAATGTAAGATCACTGATACATATGTGGTCATCCATGTCCAGCGAGCAGCATCAACGACACAGCATACCAATACTGAAAGCTGTGATAATGGCCGGAAAGGGTGGGTTGACAATGTAAGTTCACCGATACATATTGTCATGCACGGCCGGCGTACAGCATCGACACGGCATATCAATACTGAAAGCTCATGTGCAGCCTGTGATGATCGCTGGAGTCAACAACCATCCATAAAAGCTGAGGCAGCAAAGGCCAACAGCTGAAGTGGTAACACAAGTTTATTGACTTGCACTTGTAGACGCCCTGGGGTTAATCTACAAATTCATAAACATCCCTATGTACCATACCGAGACTACTATGTGCAAGACAAGGAATCATCAATTATTGACATGTACTTGGAGTATTCCACTCGGGGTACATCTACAAATTGATGGACATCATCCCACATGTACCACACCTAACTGATTCTGTCGCCGTTCACGTTGTCCACCCCATGCCAGACAATTCTACCTGAAGCTGCCGCCATAACACCTGAATTATAAGCAATCTCAATGCCAATATTGGGCATCCACATTCGCGCTGGTCCATAGCTGCCGACACTGAGCATCACATCAAACCATTGTGCACGGGATAAAGCATCACGGTGCAAGGGTGAGCGTCGGTTGCACATGACGGCGAGGACTGTGAACACAGATCCCCATACTCTTAAGAGATCTCCCATGTCCTGCAATTGATTATTGGCTGCCCATAGACCGAGGCCCAGCTGGGTTGTCAATGAAGACCAGTAGAGGCTGGGGTGCATAACTCTCAATGCAGCAGCAATAAGGGCCGCCAGTCTCTGCATCGCCTGACATAAAGATATCCCACCCACTCAGAGGGTTGCCGATATTTCAGGATGAAATTTTGGAGCCTATTAAGAAATGAGGCAAGGCTGTTGGATGTTTGATGTGCTGACTTACCGGATGACCTTGTAAAAACCATGCTGGAGAGAGATTGATGCAACCAGGGGTAAGGCCATGATCACTGCTTTGAAAATTGGACTCATGTGTATGCCATTTGTTGTCCTTCACGGCACCGCAAGTGATACTCGTGCCCAGTGGCCCTGACATCATAACAGTCGCTGCCATCATATCATTCTAAAATGACTCAGCAAAGATCATCGGCGGCGGACGCAAACCAACCTGGATGGCTGCATCAATTGCTCCGGGAAGATACCATAGGAAAATAATACCAAATTTGTTGAGGACAACTGCAGGCCATTCCAGAATAATTTGACGATCCAGTGGGAATTGTGCAAGGAGTAGTTCTTCACGCCCAGACTTGAGGCCAGTCTCCATCGTTTGCAGCGCTTCTGAATACCTGGTTATATCAAAGTTGATAGTGACTAACGCCGATTGAAGTTAAAAACCGGTTGCGCACAAATCTTAGGGCTGTACCTGGATTGCGATATGCCTTGGCGAGCGTCCTGGCAAGTTTGGAGCAAGCCATGAGTAAGACAACATCAAGCTCAATCGGAGGAAGGACCTTCGGCCCCACACCAATGAGAACAGAAAACTGGCGGGAGACATATTCACTGGCAATGTGAATTGTGGACAATGCCCAGTCAGCAGGAATGGGGTTCATCGGACGAGGGACAGAAACATCATAAGTGCTGCCTTTATAATTGCTACTGATCACGAATGATGGGGCCTAACATCATAAATTAAAGCATTGCAGGCCACTGGTGATGAGAAGCACATGCCTGAGTTTTCCCATGAAGGGATTGCTCCAACGTAATGATGCTGGCTTCTCAATATATTGCAGCATACATCAACATTAATGACGTGTTCAACTACATCCGGCGTGTAATTGCAAACACTTGAAAAAACTTTTCAATTGGCGGAACTACGGTGAAACTACACGGAGGTCCTGCGGCGGTGATTACGCTGAGGTCTAGCAAGAACTTTATTCTGCTCCACACAGCAGGTGATTCATATCAAAAGACAAAACAACTCTATTACGTAGACATGGAACCAATGTTCAGGACAGCGGCGGCAGCTTACTTGAATTATTCTCTGTATACAAAGTACAAATGGCAACCAAAAATATGGACCGGCAGAAGGCATGTCTACAATGGACCAGTTCCAGATGCAGATTCACTAAAGACCTGTCTCAGGTGAGAACTGCCGGCATTCTGATTAGTTGAAGAACCAGCAACACCATTTTGGCCAGAACTACCAGCGGCATGGGCAAGAGACATTCCAGCGGCAGTGGAGGGACCTGGAGTGATGTTTGTGTACAAGCGTTCCATTGCCTGCGCCTGGCCCGCACTGAAACCCTGACTGTAGGGTGTACTGTAGCTGGGGATGGGCAGAAACATAGTGTTACTGAATGCGGGAGGGATAGACACATTGGGCATGACACGTTGCCGAAGGGACTCGTAAGCTTCCTGCAGGATGGATGTGGAATGTGGTTGCTCAGCCAATTTGGCCTCAGTGGTCCAGAGCTGTTCCTCACGACTGTGAGATTCAACCTGCATGTCCTTCACATCCTGCTGCAATGCTGTGAGCTCGTCGTGCATGGCCTCTAGATTTTGAATGTTTGTTTCCTGCTTGGCAAGACAGACATTCATGTTCGAAATAAGCAGCATGGAAGCGGTATGTCGAGCACAGAGTTCAGTCAACTCTGTTTTGAGGCTATTGATAACCACCTGCAGGCCGTGATTCTTCTCCACAGGGGATGCTGAGTCCCCCATCTTCAGCGTCATTGCTTCCAACTCTTTCACAACTGCATCTCCCGATAGATCGATGTCCATGGTGTCAGACATTACTGGAGAACATTGCTTTTCAGGTGGTGGTAAAACTTGCCGCTTCGGCGCCGGAGAGGACGGGGGTAATGGCGATGAGGATGGAACCGGTGTGGGTATCACAACCTGGCAGGCACATATAAGAAAAGTGCTCAACCAGTATAAGTGAGTCTCAGCTCTGCCTAGCTGCTATACTCGCAGAATGCAAGAATGTTCAACCCTAAAGGGGAAGCAAAGAAAGCAAGGATCCACGGAATGATGCTGAATAACCCTGGTGAATGGCGGTGAAATGCGCTGAAGGCGCGCGCAGGAAAGCGAAGTGCGAAAGTGCGTGAAGTGCAAAACTGCGAGGAACATGATGGAATGGTTGCGCGATGTGCAGAACTGCAAGGAAGCATAAGGGGATGATAGTGTGATGATGTCCATGTCTGATATGTCTGGCGGGGGTATAAGGCGATGCTAGGCGGTCCGGAAGCAATCCAATCCATGTCCAAACCAAGTCCCACTAGGTGCTCTAAGTATTAGGTGCTATGGGATTGAATGGCATGAGTAAAACTATATTCAAAACGCAAAAAAGAGAGACAGCAAACAGTGTGGATGTCCAAGTCTGACTTGGCTTCTTTGTGCAGCTGTCGACTTCTCTACCTTCCAATGAGCGCGAAGTGCGGGAAATGTGAAATATTAACACAAGGTGAATGATAAGAGTTATTAGGTGCGAATAATGCGCGACTGCGTCGGATAGACTCTAGGTCAAGGGCCAATTGGCACCGAGACATAAACAGATGGCCCTTGATAGGGCACACAAGGATGATATCAACATGATAGGTGGAAGAGCGGAAAATGCGAATAAAGGTGAGAAATGCGAAGTCAAAAACAATGATGAGTGCTGAATGCGCGTGGATATATGCAAGATGAGCGCGTAAATCGTGCATGGATAGCGAATTAAAATGAGACTGGTTCCGGATGAGAGAAAACACAGCTAAAGACTGATGAAATGATGAAAATGCGATAACAGGAAAACTCTTCTGCAATGATAGGCGCATATAGCGCGGGAATATAAGCGTGTGGCGCATGAATGCGGCGCTTGAACGATGAATTAACAATAAAATGATGCGGAGATAAAGGCGAAATAATGGGAAACAGTGTCTGGCTCCTTGAGAGCTTTAAACATGAGATAGACGAGAAATGCGACATAGAACGAGGATGAATATACAATGCCTCTAGGTGCATGACCTGCGTGACCTCAGGTGTGTGGCAGCGCGCTGGAGGCACATCAGAGTCATTTGAGACATGATCTAGTTGGCGGATGGGCGATGTGATGCACGGATGTTTCATCACCGGCAAGCGATAGTCACTGTAAGTGGAAAATGCGATGAGCGTGGAATGATCAGTGATGGATGGGGTTACCAGAGACATGCTCTGGTCGGAAATTGGCGCGTTTTGAACCTCTGTTGCCGCAGAAGGCTCCGGAATGGGCGCGTTAGGATGCAATGGATGTTGAGAGTCATCGCTGACTGACGATAGATGTTTAAAGTCATCACTGACTTGTGGCGGTATGGTGCACAGATATTGCACCTGCGGATAATAGTCACTGTGTGCAGAAAATGCGACGAGCACGGATGTGTCAGCGACAGACAGAGTTTCCAGGGACATAACCTGGTCGGATAGCGGCGCGTTATTAGCCTCTGGTGCTTCAGAAGGCTCCGGAATAGGCGACACTAATGTGCAATAGATGTTTAGAGTCATCACTGACAGCGGATAGATGTTTTAAGTCATCGCTGACTAATGGCGGTATAATCTCCTCCAGAGGCGCTTCTGGGAGGATTTGGACGGTGATAGGCTCGCATACTTCGAGCTTGGGCGGAATATCTTTGGCTGATGGATATTCTGGTGTGGATATGGGCTCTTGAGGTGCGCTTATGATGCACGCTTCAAGTTGGACTGATGGCTGGGTGATGATGTCGAAGGGCGCTTCTAGGACTGCTGGGGCGGAGATGGTGTCGCGTATTTCAGCTATTGGTGCGATGGCTTCGGCTTCTTGTTGCTCTTGAGCGCATTCTGGTTGTGGAGGTGCGCTTGCAAGGGGTGCTTCAATGGCAGCTGGTTTTTCGAAGATAGGGCGAGTATAGTGGCAAACACCACATTCTGGCCAAAAAATCCAAGATGTGATCAGCAAATTCTACATAGTTGTCAAATTCGCGGTATGAGAGAAGCTCTCTGTGTTTAAACACTGTATACTTCAAGGCATTCTTAATGATCTCCTTGTCTGTTAAACCAAGCGGTTGCACGAGTCGTTCTACTGACTCCAGGGAGTTGACGAGCTGAGTACCATCGCCTGCAAAGCGTGGCGCTGAGTCGGCTATTCGAAGGGGCATGCCAGATGAATCTACTGGGTCGTACATGGCGTGGGAATTTGCGGTTTAAGTGCGAAAAGATGCAAGAAAGTGCGAAAAAGTGCAGATTTGCGGAAAAGGTCGAAATTGTGGTTGGCCTAAAGGTTGAAAGCACGTGGATTTGCTGACTGTTCCCCTTGCGGTGGGCTCCAGTTGTGGGTATCACAACCTGGCAGGCACATATAAGAAAAGTGCTCAACCAGTATAAGTGAGTCTCAGCTCTGCCTAGCTGCTATACTCGCAGAATGCAAGATGTTCGACCCTAAGGGGAAGCAAGGAAAGCAAGGATCCACGGAATGATGCTGAACAACCCTGGTGAATGGTGGTGAAAGCGCGAGAAAACGCGCGCGGGAAAGCGAAGTGTGAAAGTGCGCGAAGCGCATGAAGGTAGTGCAAGCAGTGCACAAGTGTAGAAGACATGTACTGAGACTGATATGAGGAAAAGTGCGGATCTAGACGGCTACTGATGGTGCCACTAGCTATAGACTGATGCTAGGGCCTCAAAACGATGATGGACACATGCATTGCATGGAACTAACTGGTGATAGCTACTGAGTGGTAGGAAGGTGGTGGTAGGAAGCTAAGGTGGGTAAGTTTGGTGTAAAACGAACATGAGAGTATGTAAGTTCTACCTAAGCGCTCTCCCAGGGCTCGGAGCCGAATAGGGAGCGCTCTAAGTATGTAAATGAGGTAATGTGATGTAAAGTAAGGGTCCATAACGAAATAGGAAGTGTAATATGCCAAATATAGTCAGATAATGAAAGGGACATACCAAGGGACTGGTTGGACGATGGATGGATGCTCCTGGATGATGCACGACACAGTGTGCTTAAGCACGAGAAAGTGTGCAAGGCGCACACACGGGAATACTGCGTGTTGTGTGGGAAAGTGTTGCGCCTATGGCGCATTTCGTGGGAAAGTGGGTGCGCTCCATAGGGAAGTCATAGTGGATGATAGTGCAAGTCGTGCCATGAAGGCCAGTTGTCAGAATTCGTAAAATGAGCCCATATGAGCCCACAGAAACACGAGTCTCTACAACCGGAGAGATGGTGGCAATTGCAGGTACAGACATCGTCGGCAGTGGGTCAGTTGGAGCGGAGGCCGAGTCGTCTGACAAGAGCATGTCTAGAATACTCAGAATATGAAAAATGAAACAAGAAAAATTTACCTTCATCATCATCCGGCGCATGGTCTGTGGGGCGGAATAGGACCGAACCTACTTTGATCGTTGTTGATTGCTCTAAGTGCAAACACTTCGATTTCTTCCTGGAGCACCTGGAGCAAGCTCTAAGCACAGTGCCCACTCCAAATCCTTGGCGACAGATAACTGACCTGAATTAATGCTGATCAGTGTACATTGGCGCTCAATATCAGTCACAAACTTAATTAGACACGTAGTACAAGGGGGCTCCAACTCCCGCCCAGCTGTGGTCTATACCTAGTCAGTGTTATACATTACAACGGATGAAATCTTACGGCGCCAATGTCCTCTGTGAGTACTTTGGTCTTAGCTTGGACACGCTCTGTTCGCCCTACCTCCACTTCCTCCATTGGCATGCTTGAATGATTATCACTCTTGTGCCGCTTCCCAGTGTGGGTCCTAACAGTATCGGACTGCTAGACGCCATAAAAATCCAACAATCTTTGGTGATATCAGAATCACTTACTGTAGGGGGACCAGACTCATCAACCCTAGGCGTACGTGTTGGGCCAGCTTCATCTGTTGCCGGCGGGCGACTCGAAGCAATGTTTCTCTTGGTCGGCGGCCTACTAGGACCAGCATCCCTGTGTCTCTTCTGCGGCCTTCCATGCCCAAGGCCTTCTGCAACATGCTCTGGCTGGACGACTTCTTTTCCTTTTCCTTTCCTGCGCACAGTCACGTCTTGCAATTCCAAGTCACGGCATCCTTCCAGGTCCTTGGATTTTGGCTGTGGCTTCTGCCTAAGGGGAACATCTGTTGGAGCCACATCCTTCCCCGCATGTGTGTCCACATCCGCCGGCGGTACAGTGATCTTTTCCCTCACCTTCCCCTTGCCTCTGATCACCACCGGCTGCAATTCCAATTCGCCAATGGTAGGGATGACCTTTGTCAGCGCTCCATCCTTGGTCACCACCTGAGCCCCATCCACAACTTCAATTCCGTCGCCTTCCAAACTGAGTACCCGCCGGCTTCTTTTTTGGAACTGGTTTCAGTTTCGGCTTAAGCTTTGCAGCAGGCAGCGCTGGTGCCACCAGCGCAGACAACTGTGATGACGGCGATGATGGTGATACTTGGTTTGCTGGGGTGATATAATTGCGTGCCTTCACATGTAAGGGATGGTTCTTGATATGTGGATCATTCATCACGATGTTCGTCCATATCGGCACTGAGACAAATGATAGGCCACTAACTGGATCGCAATGCTCTTTCAACTCCATAGCCGCCGACAACAACACCGGCGAGATTTTTGTTGCAGACTGCCCATAAGTTGTAAATACTGGAGACTACTCTAAATTAGGGAATGCAACATCGCTAAATTAGCACATGCTAACCATGATATTTGCCATTTCCATGGCCATGGACAACTGGCCCATCCGACCTTTCGTCTTCATTGCTTGCGCTAGGATTTGCACCACCTCAGTGGCAGCATCGTTCAGAGCTTTGTTGGAAACTTCAGATGATGGCATGCTTAGCAGGAAATGTAGATGTGAAAGAGAGAGCAAAGATGTAGGATATTAGCTTCAGTAATATATAACAGATGGAAGCAATTAAAATTTCCAAGCAACTTTGATCGGCTCACGCAGCGCTGCCATGAGGATGTAGAAGCACACGTTTCAACATATGTGCAAATTTTCTCACAAAGAAATCCATTGTTTAGGGCGATCGTTTAAAACCCCGCGGGAATCCACAAGCCCAGACAATGTATTTAATCATGTGAACTTGGAACTTGACTAGATATCTTCACATCTGAACTCTACATCCAATACTCATCTTTCATCCAATACTCGTATCATCCAACACAATGTCAGAGCCAATCGACCGCTGCGTTCGTTTTGATGTACCTATGGACACCGATGATGAATCCCAATCATCTCACGTCGGCGATACACCCAAATGTAAGTTCCAGATAAGCGATAAGTTCACATTGACTAATCACGGCCAATTGTAAGTGTTCAATTTTGGGTTTGGGAATTCACCCTCTTGTCAAAACAGAGACCCATCAGCGGCGAGGCCTGCAGTATCCCCAACCCACATTTAACTTCGGGTTCAACATGAATACACAGGCGGAACCCGCTCAACCTGCATCGGCGCCCAAGTCATTAAACTTTGGCTGGATGCAGCCTGCGGCGTCTCCAGACCGTACCGCGCCAGCAACAACACCATTCAACTTTGGCATGGGTGCACCTGTCACATTGCCGTCAACAGCATCCACCCCTCCAACGCCGCAACCAAAGCCAATCAATTTTGGCTGGGACTGCCTTCCTCCTCCGGCGTCGCCTATGCAAGCATCGTCAACGGCATCCACCCCTACAACGCCGCGACCACAGCCAATCAATTTTGGCTGGGACTGCCTTCCTCCCCCCGGCGTCGCCTATGCAAGTTCCGCCCACAACAGCAACAGTCGACCCACCGACACCACCCCTCACACAATTGAATTTTGGCTGGACTGGGAAAGCCTCATCCAAGGAAGCACCTCAGCACGTTGGCTATGACATGACTAATAAATGTAAGTTATGCTTCTACATCTTATATTCGCAAATGTGGATCACTCTGAAGCATTCCGGTTTGGTTGTGAAGGCAAACCAGCAAAGGTCGGTGGTTGGAAACCGGTGTAGAGACTCGCGTTTCTGTGGGCTCATATGGGCTCATTTTACGAATTCTGACAACTAGCCTTCATGGCACAACTCGCACCATCATCCACTATGACTTCCCTATAGAGCACACCACTTTCCCGCAAAAACGCGCCATAGGTGCGATATTTTCCCGCACAACATGCAGCATTCCCGCGTGCGCGCCTTGCGCGCTTTCTCGCGCTTAAGCGCACTGTGTCGCGCAGCATCCAGGAGCATCCATCCATCGTCCGACCAGTCCCTCGGTATGTCTCTTTCATTATCTGACCATATTTGGCATATTACACTTCCTATTTCGTCATGGACCCTTACTTTACATCACTTTACCTCACTTACATACTTAGAGCACTCCCTATTCAGCTCCGAGCCCTGGAAGAGTGCTTAGGTAGAACTTACATACTCTCATGTTCATTTTACACCCCAACTTTTGGACCTTAGCTTCCTGCCACTCAGTATCTATCACCAGTTAGTTCCATGCAATGCATGTGTCCATCATCGTCTTGAGGCCCTAGCATCAGTCTATAGCTAGTGGGCACTATCAGTATCCGTCTAGATCCGCACTTTCCCCCTTATCAGTCTCAGTATCCGTCGTCTACACTTGTGCACCACTTGCACCACCTTCCTGCGCTTCGCACACTTTCACACTTCACTTTCCCATGCGCGCCTTCAGCGCGTTTCTCGCGCTTTCACCACCATTCACCAGGGTTGTTCAGCATCATTCCGTGGATCCTTGCTTTCTTTGCTTCCCCTTTAGGGTCAAATGTTCTTGCATTCTGCGAGTATAGCAGCTAGGCAGAGCTGAGACTCACTTATACTGGCTGAGCACTTTTCTTATATGTGCCTGCCAGGTTGTGATACCCACACCGGTCCCAATCACTGCTACTGTCTCAGCCAATTCACCAGCTACACGCTCGTCCCTGCTGGTGTCATATGCAGCCCCTGCACTTCCCAACATGGTAGGAGCCCTCCAGCTCCCCAAGGCACCAATCCCTGCTATCGCCATTGCAGCCGCCGGTGAACCACAGGCACCGAAACTGGCAACCTTGGTCAGTGAGGCTGAGCAGGCGGCGATCAACATAGTGAAGCGCCTCTGGTCAGATGAATGTGAGTAACATCTTATCTTCGCGAACCTAGCTTATGTCATTCAGTTGATGCGCTGGCACAAAGCCTACTCGTCACTGTGGTTGGGCCCGAGATTGAGGTCTGTGATCCCACAAATGAAGAGGTGCTGGACAGCAACCATGTCCTTCTGACGGCATACTCCAAGACAAGAGATAGGTTGACTCGGATCTTCAAAGATCTGATTGGCCTGCAAAAGATCGCCGATGGCCATGCCCGAGTCATACCAGCTGTTAGATCTCTGGCAAACGAAGTTGAGAAAGCGGAGACCAGGTCTACTGGCACCCCTCAGTAGACTTAGATTGTTGGATTTCTTCTAGATGTCAGCTGGTCTGCATCGCCGATACTTTGTATTATATCAACCCTCATTAGAATGATAGATACCTTGTTGTGAATAACATATACAACACAATTGTCTCTGCCGGCGCCCATCAGTGAACCAACATTAATTGAGATATCAGCCAGTCTGCATCGCCGATATTTTGTCAACAGTGGTGAGGGCGAGGAATGATAGCTGCGTGCTAGGGGGAAGAGTGGGAAGTGGGCTCTCAAGTGCTCCTCTGGATACGAGTGGAAAGTCGTCCCAAGGGGATTGCTTCTGAGAAAGATTCCTCTAGTGAATGGTGAGGGGGATCTATAACCAGTGATTCGGTCTCGAAGTCTGAATGGGACACTGAGGCAAATAATGCACCCAAAAGCGAAGTGCGCTAGCTAAAGGCGCCTAAACGCGCTAATAAGGCGGAAAGTGCGGAAAAGCGTGCTTCGAATGTCAAAGCGCACTTCGTGCGATCACAATGGAGTGCTTCAAGTAGAGATGACAATCAAATGGGGAATCAGGACTTTGATAGATGTAGAAATAGACACTTAAAGGTGTCAAAGCGCCAAAAGGAAGGAAAACCGGTGTATTCAGATAGAAACTCGAGCTATACACTTTGATGGTAGTGGAGTGGAAGTAAGTGACCGGAAAACAAACATGGTGACGTGTAGGTATGCTAAGCGAGTTCCCACGGCTCGGAGCCGAATAGGAAGTACTAAGGTAAATGGTGAGGTAAGTCAGGGTCCATAACGAGATATGATGATAAGTACTAGTGCCTGCGTGACGGAGTATGAGTTCTGAAGAAGGGAAAACGCACCAATGGACCTTGGAGGACTGGGACGGGACATGCGGAGGACAGGCGATGGATCCTAGGGAAATGCGACAAAGTGCACCGTAACGCGCTCGAACACACTTGAACGCGCTGGTACGCGCCAAAGTGCGCGTTGCGCGGAAGTCGTATTAGAAGCGCATTGTAAGGATATCGAGTGCGTCGTGAAAAGCCGTGAATTTGGCCCATATGAGCCTGGAGAAATGTGAATCTCTACAGCGGTATTTGTCATATACCATATTCCCGGGTACAGATCCGAAGATCCAGATCTCAGATCCGATCCAGATCCGATGGACATATCCGTTGTCCGGTCCACAGATCCGATCTAATCCTTATTTCATGTCCTGTTCATATAACTCTAACTATCGTTCATCTCCTTTCAGCATTCCTGTACACCGGTATACCGGTTATCCTTTACTTTTGTTATGCTTACTGATCCGCTACACATACTGATCCGCTTTAGCTTATACTTCATTCCCGGTTATGATTCGTTATCCATCCGACTTACCGATATGCTGTACACATACTTTGCTTATACTTTGTACATAGCCTCGCGTCCTTGCTTATTGATCATTCCGTTAGTTATCCGTAGTATATAAGCCCTTGTACATGCACTGTAGTAGATCAGTTCGAATATCATCTTAGATTGCACTCATTCTGGCAGGACTCTAAGTCCCTCCGTTATCCGTCCGGACTCGAGTACAATACTCTTGTCTACTCCGAGACTTAGGATTGATTCCTATAGTCTATATATCCGTCTCTGTCTTCAGACAGTCCTCACCTATTAGTTTCTAGTTCGGATCCAATCTGGATTAGCCGTTACTCTATACGTTCGACATCCGGAAGCCTTAACGGATCTGTTACGATACTTATCCGTCTCACTAGACGCGATACTCTAGCACTCTGAAATAAGGGGCAAGACTCAGGAAAGGGGCACAGCGCACGAGCTGAGGCCGAAGCCCTTTGGATCCGATACAACTTGAGTACGGTCTTAACAGTATTACATTGACTATCATTAGCATAGTGAATACATTCTTGGGATAACCAGCAACCAACATTCTAAGTACCAGATGCATACATGTACATTCTGACAGTATCTTAACATATACATGATTCAAAGACTACTTGCGCTTACTCTTGGAAGCTGCAAGTGCAGTAGCCTTACTCCTAGTTCTCTTTGCCGGAGTGTCGCTCACAGGATCGGCGGCGTGCTGCTTCAATCCCTTGGGGCGCTCATTTGAAATGTTTGCTGCCGCCTTGCTTCTTGTACATGTCCCTGCGGCCACTGCTTCCTTCAAGGTCTTCTGTGATTGGTCAGGCTGCCTTGCATTGCCAGAACCATTGAGTATTGCAACATTCACGGTGTCGCCAATATCAGCCAAAGTGTTTGACACATTCCGGCGCGAGGTTGCACCCTTCGCTTTCATGGGATTCCCTACCTCAGCAGAATTAGAGTTTGTTCTGGGTGTTGGTGTATATTGGCGACCTAGAGAAATCTCTTCCTCCTCACCGGTGGATTGTGCTCCCAGATCAATTGCACCTGATAACCCACCATCGTCGTGCTTGTCAGAATTACTGCACTGGGCATCTTGGTGGTCATTGCCAGCAGTCCGCCGGGTTGCGCTGGGAGACACGGCTGCTACATGCATCTCGCTGTCGGCATCTTTCCAGGCCTTGAATGAGAAGGCTGGTCGGATGTTGTGCTGCTGTCGGTCAAACCAGAAATCCAGCACAGCAGTGGCATCCGCTTTGTCCATCTTTGAAGGTTCCTTGAACTGCACGCCGGTGGGCCATTGTGTGCTTTGAAAGAATGCTGATTGGCTATGTATGACATCCCCCCAGGGTACCAATGCCTTGATGTTATCTTTGCCGCCACACATTCCTGTTCTGACACTGAATAATGTATATTCTCATTAAGGAAATCACCTACTATAGAGTGTTGTCAAGAAGGATCGGATCATGTGGTGTTGATCGGCGCATTTCCACCCCTTTGTGTCCGGTAGAATAGGCCACCCGTTGGCATCTTCTTCAAGTTTGATGAGCTTTCGGGGGACTCGTTTCTTGGACTTCACCATCTGAGGTTCCTCGCCATCTTCAGCATCTGGACAGGTTCTTGTTAGGATGCTTGCCAGGAAACATATGAACAGCATCTCACCAAATTGCTCCCCCACATATTCCTGCCACTCCGGCATGAAAACGCCCTCCCAATCCCTAGTCTTCATAAAGCTTTCGCTGTTAGCAAACTGCTCATTGAAGTCATGGCTACAGAGGTTAAGTTGGGCAATTCACCAATTGATCGGGGAGACACACCCTCCCAGCATTAACTTGCCTTTGCCGTCCTTCCATGTGGATAGCACAAAGACTCTCATTCCGGCTTTCTTGAACATTTCGGTGGCAAAATGCTCAATCATGTCAGCTCCTTTGGTCTTGGCAACATGGGCCTGAACCTCGGGTGGTGCTGCCTCATTATTCCACTTATCTGCCATTGCTTGGGCTTCCTCCTTCTCCTCCGCTGACAACTGGTTAATCACAGTCTTTGCAGCCTTTGGCCACTTGCTGATCATCTCTCCACTTCCAGCCATTTCTCCCGTCTCCTCTTGGATGAGGGCCTTATGGGTGTGAATCAAGACTTTTCGGGCAGTCCAAGTCCTGCCATACTTGATGAGGGGCTTGGAAGATGGTTTCTGGTGAGAGTGGTTTTGCAACCATTCCTATAAGTCTGACATGGACATGTTATCAATACTCCAGGACCCGGATACATACTATAACCTGTCATGTACCTTTTTCCTAGCTTTCAGTATGGCTTTGTCCTTAGTCGGAGCTTGGAGAGAGGCTTCCTTGTGGCTGGCATCAAGACCCTCGCCCGCTCCTTTCCTTTGACAGACTTCCAGTCCTCTAGATGGACCCTGAGGACAGTGACTTCTGCCTTGTCCAAGGGAACCTTGTTTTGCTGTAGAACAACAATAGGAGATTGACTTCTTGCCATGTTGTGATGTGAATGGTTCGGAATTCAAAATAGTTGGTTGAGATGTACCTTATTGGTATCCCAGATTCAGCCTATATTACATCCTTGTTGGTATTGCTCGGTTCAGCTTGTATTATATTTATATTATGTACTTGTAAATGCTAATTGACTAGGTTGAAATTGGTTACCCTTCTTACTATCAACATACACAACATACGATATTGATATAGACAAATGGGGGGCTCTAGAATCCAAGAGTGGACACCTCCCCTGAAAGTATTCAGTTGTAGAATGGAAGAAAACATACTGAAACTAGAAAGGTGGTGGGCAAATGGGTGGAAAGACCAAAGATCAGACAATCAGTTCCGCCTACCCCTACCAAGTCTCCCTCAAAGCAGGCATCCTATGATATGCTGTACCATGGGGAAGATGACTTCCTCGGCGACATTGGAGCAACTCCACTGCAGCTCCCTAGGTCACTGGTGAGCACTCTGTAACTTCACTGTCAATTCACTGACCTTCATTCAAGAGTCAAAATGACTATATCCGCAATGGGTGCCCAAGACTAAAACATATCTCAACATACTCCTTGAACAGGAGGTTCCATCAGATCGATCATGTACCATCTGTGGGACAGATGGTGTATATAAATGTCATGGGTGCTTTGGTGAGCCCTTTATTGCACCAATTGTTGCAGAATGAACCACCAGAGACTTCCCTTCCACTGGATCAGCCAATGGACAGGTGCCTTCTTCGAGGAATCTTGCTTGGTCAAGATTGGGATAGTGATGTGGCTTGGGCATGCCGGAACTCCTTGCCCCTGGGAAGATGACACCGGAGAGTCAGCATTTTTCGCTGATGGAGGGGCAGAAGGGCCGGTGAGCTCAGATAGCGAGGGTGCATCAGATGAACAGTCCGATGCACCTCTTGCACAGGAAGCACACGACCTCCCAACCGGCGTGCCATTCATAAAGAACAACAAGACCATGACTACTATAGTAGATAAGTCAGGAGTACATACTCACATGGTTAAGTATTGCACATGCCCCGGGGCCCCTTCTGCCGATATACAGCTGTTTCAAATGGGCTTATTTCCAGCATCATTCTTGGAACCAAAGACAGCATTCTCGTTTGATGTCTTGGATGACTTTTTGCTCGATAACCTGAAGTGCGGTGTGGGTAACACAACAAAGGTGAACGCAAGTCAGATGACAAGCAAACACTCTCTATGTTGGGTCTTGATATGCCGTGCGATATGTTCGACCCTTAAGGGAAGCAAAGAAAGCAAGGATCCACGAAATGATGCTGATCAACCCTGATCAAAGGCGACAAAAGGGCGATGTAGCGCGAGAAACGCGCTCAAGGCGCGCGCAGGAAAGTGAAACGCGAAAAATGCGCGAAGTGCGGGAAGGCGAAAGTGCGAAAGGGCAAAAATGCGCGGAGAACAAGGGATGGTAGTGCGAGCAGCGCACAAGTGTAGAGAGACATAATATGGTGAAAAGCGCGGATATAGATGGCTACTGATACTGCCACTAGCTTTAGACTGATGCTAGGGCCTTAAGACGACGACGGACGCATGCATTTGCATGGAACTAACTGCCAAGTACATGGTGGTAGAAAGATGTGGTAGGAAGCTGAGGTAGGAAGCTGAGGTAGGAAGCTAAGGTGTCCAAATGAACATGAAAGTATGTAAGTTCTACCTAAGTGCTCTCCCAGGGCTCGGAGCCGAATAGGGAGTGCTCTAAGTATGTAAGTGAGGTAAAGTGATGCAAAGTAAGGGTGCATAACGAAATACACAGTGTAATAGGCTAAATATGGTCTGATAATGAAAAGGGACACACCTAGGAACTGGTTGGACGATGGATGGATACTCCTGGATGATGCACGATGGAGTGCGCTTAAGCGCGAGAAACGCGCTAAGCGCGCGCGCGGGAACGCGAAACGCGAAAGCGTGAGAAAGTGTTGCGCCTATGGTGCGCTTTGCAGGAGAGCTGTGGCATTGTATGCGCAAATGACTGGAGACATAGCAGAAGTTGCGTATGGAGTAGGGCGACAAGTGCGAGAGAAACGTGCTAAGTGCGCGCGGGAATGCTGCGCGTTGTGTGGGAAAGTAGCGCGCCTATGGCGCGTTTCATGGGAAAGCTGCGCGTTGTGTGTGGAATGACCAGAAACAAGATAGAAGTCGCATACGGATGATGGTGCGAGTCGTGCAGTAAAGGCCAGTTGCCAGAATTCGTAAAATGAGCCCATATGAGCCCACAGAAACGCGAGTCTCTACAGCGGGACATCAGCGATGAATTATTACAGCAAGTTAAGAAGGATGACCACAAGGGTCTTCCCTCACTTAGTGCCGGTATGTACGTCGGCGACGCTCCGCCAATGTCATTGATTAGGATGCAGGATCGGTACCGAGAGCTGATGAGGGTGACGAGACAATGGTGGAAGTTGAAGCTACTGAAATGGAATGGCTTTGGCCATGAGGACAAAAAGGTCACACCTGGCGATCTTGCTCTGTTCTGTCCAGCGTGTCCCCAGCCAGGCATCAATGTCACATTGCCCACAGGAGATGACGCCGAGGGCCTAAATGGGTCAGACTTGCAGATGCCGAGGTGGCTTTATTCAAGATCTTTAGTCATGGACGGAAACTTCAAAGCGGAGCATCTCCATGCTGCAAATCTGTCTGATGAAGTCTCACTCATGGACGGCCGTGGCTTCATGGTCGGCGACCGCATATACAAGGAGCACCTGTCCCTTGCCAAAGAAGCCGTCCAACGCTCCGAGTGTAACAATCATCGCGCCATCAATCAAGCAAATGCAACACGCCACAGACTGGAAGCCACAGGCATCAGTGGGTGTGCTTGTGCAAGGCATGGCTGTTTTGTCCCTCATGCCATGGTAGATTTTCAGAAGGGAGAAAGGTGTGTAACACCAAGGATGCTCACACCATCGCTGATTACCACTAGACAGATGAACATGGATTATGCACTGTGTGAGGCACTGAAAGTGAACGCCGAGGGAATCCGCCATGCATTGACATTTTATGATGTCAACTGTCAGTACCACAAGCATCTGAAGGACCGAATCGCCGAAAGTCCTATCCTGCAGATCCATCAAGAGCCGGAGATCATTCCTGGTATTGGTCTATTGCATGTACATGGCCATCAAGATAGCTGCTATGTCAGATATGCTTCCAATTTCATTGAGGGCGCAGCTTGAATCGACAGGCGAGATCATGGAAACCCTGTGGGCGCTGTTAAACATCATCTCGCCATCGGCGCGTGGCATGGGTACACCCCATCAGAAAGAATGTCTGGATTACCAAATGAATGACTGCAATTTCATGAAAATGATCAGGATGAGTGAGTGCTCCTAAAATATAACACAATCTCATTATCTGACAAGACTCCACATACAGGCAAAAGTCTCTGCAGAAAATACAGGCAGGCTGTGAAGGGCATCGCCGAAAGTACAGAGGCATTTCAGAAACTTCATGAGACCGCTGATCCTTGGCAAGTTCAAGATTGGGAAGCACAAGAGAGGTTGGCGCAAGCAAGACGGCTTCGTGATCCAACAGCAATGGACATTTACAAGGTTCAACTTCAGAAAGGTATGTAGGTGAGAGCTGTCTGGTTGGTCAATTTTTAATCCAGCACAGCGCCGACCAGAAAGCAGCAAGAATTGCAATTGTTAGCATCCCAAGGCCAGCGTCCTGGGCTAGCACGCCGGAGAGGTGCGGCGACATGGCTAGCAGAGGGTCTCACCATTGAGGAAGCCCAGATCACCCTGCAGATGGATGTGAGAAAACTGGGACAACGTTGGATGGACACGCAGCGATTGGATATTTGTCGCCGGCGTGACACCCTACAAAGGGATATCAATCAGTGGGTGGATGCAGGAAGGACTTTTCTTGGCGATGGATTGGGTGATGACGACATACAGCCCATGGAACTACAACTTCTGACCCTTCAAGATGATTCACAAGATGAAACAGATGAACCGGAGAATGACTACAGAGTGTTTGAGCCGGAGAAGGTGGTTATTCCATTGCCTTCTAATTTAGGACTGGAGAGATGTGCTGCGCTTGGCGTTACCGATTTGGTGGACCAGGAACTCACTCTCCGGCAAGGCCAGGCAAATGATGCACTTCACAACATCAGAGTGCACTTAGCAGACAAGGCGGTGAGGTGATCTCAACCTGGCTGGGCTGATATGAAATATCTAAAAATGCTCAACCAGTATAAGTGAGTCTTGGCTCTGCCTAGCTGCTATACTCGCAGAATGCAAGAACATTCGATCCTAAAGGGGACTGCTACTGAACACAGAACCAGATGAAAGAAAGACCCTTGAAGTGCGATGGATGCGCAAAAGCGCAAGAAGAAAAGCGAAGTGAGCGCGAAGCGCGAGAGAGCGCACTAAGGTAAGCGTGAGCGTGGGAATGTGAGTGCTAAGGCGCGCGTTGTGCGGAAAATACCAGATAAGGAAACAGATGTGCAAAGCGAGTGCAGATGCAGAGCGAGTGTTATAATGAGTGCGGATAATAGTCTAGTATAGGCGGATAACGATAACCATTGGAAACACAAAGTGTGCCCAAGTGGTGACTACTACTTTAAAGTAAAACCCAATAGGGAGGGAAGTACAGCAAAGGGGAGTAATAATGATGAAGTAGTAAGTCAGCAAACTTTATACTATGGAAATCGCATCGGAAGCGGAAAGGATAGGAGCAATAAGCACTATGAATACGTAATGACATGTAATAGCGCTGCAATGCTTGTTACAAACCACGAGGCAAGGGATATGACGTACCAATGAGGTGGGTGGACATAGACGGACGTTCCTGGATGATAGGCGATGCAGGGCGCTTAAGCGCGAGAAAGCGCACAAGGTGCGTGTGTGGGAATGCTGCGTGTTGTGTGGGAAAGTGCCGCGCCTATGGCGCGTTTCGCGGGAAAGCTGCGCGTTATGTGTAAAACGACTAGGGACATGATAGAAGTCGAATATAGCTGATGGTGCGAGTCGTGCATTGAAGGCCAATTGTCATGAGTTGTGAAAAGGTGCAAAATGTGCCCATATGTGCCTGCAGAAACACGAGTCTCTACAGCGGTAATATTCTGGAGAACTGTTAGGACCGCAAAGTCACAAGCTGCATCCACCAGGGCTTGGGCTCAAGTTCATTCTGTTGATAGGGGCGGTTAGCATCAATGCAAGTATCTATTCCAAGTGCCGATCACAACTTTGAAAACTTGCCGCCGATGATGCTGTGCTAGAAAGATACCAGCAGTTGCTGAAGGAGCATCTCAAGGTTAGCACAGCGGTCGCCGATCCAAACTCTCGGGGTCAAAGGAACAATATGTTGGCTTGGTTTTGGTCTATGGATGTACAAGGGGATTCTAATAGCAGTGATTGGGTGAATGAATGTGAGTGAGACTGATTTCTCACTGCCCGGCGCTCATCATGCCGATACAGTTTACCGTGTGCATTGGCTCCGTGCCAAGGCTATGAGAGATCGTTGGGCAGAAGAGATGTTGCTTGTAAAGCATGAAATGGATTGGACCTGTGACTCTTTTCTTCATAAAGCTGAGAATTGGATCCGTCTAGGTAACATCTCCAGGCAGGTCCATAAAGAGGGACATCTGGGATATGCGGCCAGACAATGCAAAATTTATCAACATTTGTACGCAGAGGCCAGTCATGCATTCAAACGGACAAAGGCCTCGTCTCAAGCAGAGCAGCATTTTCCTGTCTTAGAAAATGCAAATACTGGATAACGATGGACTACTGGGTAGAAGACCTCTCACTCCGATGTACTATGTAGAACAGCTCTCAATGATTATTCGCTGAGGCAGATCTTGTCAATTATATACGCCAGGCATCGTGAGCGGCGATGATGACCATCATTCGGCGCTGAATGAAGTGGTAGCACATCTCACATGCCCATTCTTTGTGGCGACGGCTCCACCGAGTGAATCTTGTTCTCCACTTGTTTTGTACAGCAGTTTGAAGACCTTCAGCCAGCGTGCCATGTGTTACCCTTGGGCTAGAATCAGCTATTGGAGCACCGGCCCAGTCACAATTGAACACTTACAAGTTGCCCGAAGTGATCGAACAGGATGTCCCACAGTTCATGACTGCTTGGATGCACGCTGATGAAAGCCTTGTTAGGAGTCACGTCAAAGGTGGTATTCCACCAAGCAAACTTGTAGCTCTGCACTACATGACTTGTCACCCAAGAACTTGATGGTTCCACCGGAATGTTCATAAGTGCCGAGTACATTTCTTCGGCGACGTGTCGGACTGTGCCAGTCCTGAATATGCTAAGGAAGATGTGAAGATTCTGAGATACCGGTGGGTCAGTCCTTGCACTTTCACAAACTGACACCCAGGGAAGGAGGAAAGACTGACTCAATTAGTGTCCATAATGCATGAAGGACCAGCGATAACATTTACCTTTGCCTCCCAGTTCAGGTACTCATTCAACATGATGCGACCCTCTGCCAATATGACACCCCCGCCTGGATTCCAGCATTGTCCGGATTGCTAGTAATCTGGAACCGGCGTATTTGAATATGTTAGCCACGTCGGATACATCAAAGGCAAGATGTCCCTGAACACCTTGGGAGCTCTGCGAAAGACATTGTTGTCTATCACTCATGGTGACTGCAATTTTCTAGAGAATACTACTGATCATTTGAGATATATATATTGGCTACATGAATCAGAGTTTTAACACCATGTAGTTAATCACTGTAATGTACATTCTAGATATGGTTAGGACATGTTTTGCTCTCTTTTCAAATACTTCACAAGTCTTTCCATCGCAGCGATGGCTTCACCAACATCCCGACCCAGGAGACTGTCCATTTGCATCAAGCTTGCAGCCACTATCCTTGCTTCTATAACCTTGTCTTCAATCATTTTCAGAAGATGATTACCTTCCTGCTGGACCTCGGCGCGAATGGTAGACACTTGCTGAGCCACCAGCGTGATCTTGGGTTCAATCAAGGTTGCCGGCGTGAGGAACGCGGTCCCCTCAGGCTGCACACGGCTGAAGTCAGTTTGTTCCTCTTGATATAAGCCAATGTAGTTCTTACCAATTGTAAAAAATGCTCAGTGAAGAGTTCCTTCACTTCAACGCAGTTTGGGTAAGTGTTGAAGAACACCTCGTTGGGTTCGGTGTCAAGAGGACCCAGCCACCAAGCATGCTCATATGTGTTGCCTTCATGGCTTCTCATCCATGTTGCCGGCGGGTCTACCGGCAAGGTCATGAACAAGTGATACACATCGGCGTAGCTCTCAAGCATCTTCAGCTGTTTCATCGCCAGGAGGCCGATGAGATACTGTAAATTGTGTGATAATGGTGGGTTGATGCTCAACCCGGTGCAAAATGTGACCCAAGGGATGGTAAAGGCCTGTAAGATCATTTAACTCAGACGGCGTGGACATGACACAAAATTACCTCTGCCTCCCAGTTGAGGTACATGCCGATATTCTTGCGAACTTTCTGCGATGTATTGTCCTTCATCTGCTCCAGCACTCGGTGAATCCTTAATAAGTGGCTGCCAGCATATAGGAAGAGATTGGCAAAGTCCGCTAAATCGAGGGTGAATTCGTCATCGGCAGTGACGTCAGACAACCTTGTAGAGATAATGTTCGACATGATATACTGACAAATTACAAGTGTTGTTGCAGGCTTTAAATACATGGAATTGTCGGGAATTGAACTTGGCAATTTCAAATTTGTGTTGTGTCCATCGGCGACTAAGGCCGTATAGCATGTGTCCGGTGGTTTGCCTGATATCATTACATTGTTCTGCCCATAGTATCTGTAAGAATCAGTGGATGTGACCACATCGTTGGCATTGAGTGTTGAATATTGACATGTCAACATGTGAACCGAAAGTAAGACAATAGGGAATATTACATAATCAGCCGATAATGTGGCCACAGCGTGATACATATTATGTTGTTTACTGTTTGTCGCCGCATCTCATCTTGAACTTCATCCTTCAAATTCTCATTTGCAATGTCCTCCGCTGCACACCAACTTATCGCCTGCTGCCAACAATGCTTTCAGTGAGGCTGCTGATCAGGTGGAACACATCCTCGGCCAAGCCTTGCAGCTACAGCTGGAGGACCCAAAGCATCTCAGCATTGCCATGGACATGGCAAAATTGATGGTAAGTACTGTAACTTTATTCTCCCACAATGTCTTACAATTGTTTCAGCACGAAGTCTTTTCCACACACGCCGAAAGGGTGACCATCCTGTCACCTTTGGTGTTGTCTGCTGGTGCCGAGTTGATGAACCACATGGACGAAGACAGGACCGCTTTGGTCACCTGCACCCGTCTGGGCCAACATCGTTGCTGACGATCCTCGCATCCGAGGCCATCCTCTCTTCCCCGCCACTGCTGGTTACTGAAAGCAGCAGCAGCAGCAGCCGTCCCCGCCAAGAGCTGGCCCATCTCAGCCAAAGGGTGTTCCTCGCGCCGATGATGCCGAAGAGCGAGGGCGAGGCATTGAGCGTGGTAAGCACTCTCGGGCTACTAATGCTAGGAGCCAAAGTCGGCCTGGCGCAATCCAAGCGTCAACGGCAGAAGTCTAAGGCCATCATCACCAGTGATGATGACCTTGAGCTAGACGAGGTGGTTCCAATGGTGCCAGTTCACAAGGAGCATGCCGTCAACATGATCTACAAAGTAAGTCCAATGCTATGGTTTCACAATTAATCTAATGGCACATTTAGCCTGGTCAACTCACCAAGGTGGTTACCGAGCAGAAGACTCGCCGTTCTCTCCGGCACTCTGTTGTCGCCAGCGATGATGACATGGACGCCAACTGCAGCAACCAACACTGGCCCTGCACCCAAGATGGGTGTGCCATATGTGGAATTGCCGGTAAGTGTTCCCAATCTCTTGTGTCTACTAGCTAAGTCAGATTTTGGTAGCCCTGCGCCCACCACATCCTCAGGTCCCCAGCTGAAGGAGGATGATTTCGCCGATACAACGGCGCCATCATGGGCTCCTCGCTGCGGCCAATGCGTAGCACGGGATCTCATCTACCGCTAAGCCTTCAACAAGGACCACGGCGGCAAGTTGAAGGTGTGTGCCTTCTGCAGCAGGCTGAAGATTAGGTGCTGGCGGCAAAGGCTCAGAGGTTCCCACTGTGAAAGGGAAGTCTGCGACATCTCGCCGGACCTGTTCTCAATCTCGCCATCGGTGCTCGCCGCCAGCTCGTATGTGTTTCTCTCTACAACCTTGCGCTCAACTAATGTTCTTGTAGAAAACATTGCAACCCAACATGTTGAACCATCAGTGTCAGACACCACCACCACCGCGCAGAATGAGGATGAGGTTCCTACTCATCCATCCACATCCATCCCTCCACCAACCTCTGCCTCTACTGACCGCGACAGCATGTTGGCTTTGCAGGCTGAAGTTGCCACACTTTGCACTGCAGTCGCCGCATTGGAGGACCAGGTTGTCGCCGGTGACAAGCGGTGCGAAGATGCCAACACCAGATTGGCAGAACAAGAGGCAAGGTCTGCACTCCTCGCTGAAAGATTCGATGAGCTCCTCTGGAAGTTGCTGCCGGCAGCTACATCTGCAACCACTGAGTGCGGTGCTGAGGCTACTGGTGAATTGGCTGCTGGCGAATTGCTTGCCAGTGACTCCACCACTGAGGCGTCCAGCACATCTGCCGACCCCGCCGGCGAAGCCACAGGTCAATCGGCCGCTGTCCCATTGACACACACTGCCAAGTCCTCCCATGAATCTGCTGCTGGTCCAGCAAACCTTGTGGATGACTCGCCTGTGCTCATTGGCTTCTCTGGCGGCGGAATGATTTCCCACCTGTTTGTACTGTTGTCTGAATATCTTTTGTGGCCGCCGTTCATTTTATGTATATACATTCGTTCAAACACTACCAGGTGAGCCTACCCGTTTAATTAGATTGCAGTGCTCTAGGCTCTCCTCTATATTCAGTTCACCCTGCGAGCCCACCTGTGGTCACCACGATACATTGGCAGGGCCCACCTGTATAGGTGGTGACAACATCTGGGCCCGCATGGCTATTCCAGTGTTTCTGAATGGGCCAACCGTTCACATGGAGAAAATCGGACAACTGCTGCCATGCCCATATGATTTCGCTGGCCGTGATTAAATGTATATCTCGGTGGAAATACTTGCATTCGCCGATCACATTCTGTGATCGCCGATTGTAACTCAACACACCGGGGAGCAAGGGCCCACTCGAAATCGTCGAGGAATAACATTTCTATTGTCCTGTGGGCCCACATGTAAATACAATGTAATTTGATCTTGCTACCTGCGGGACCTGCCCATATGGTGTCGCTGGCCATGATTAAATGTATTTCTCAGTGGACACTTGCATTCGCCGATGATATTGGTCATTTTCTTGCTGGCAGAAATTCACATTCTGTGATCAACGATGGTAATCCAACAAACCAGGGGAGCAAGGGCCCTGCTTAAAATTGTTGAGGAATAACATTTCCATTGTCCTGTGGGCCCACATGCAAATACAATGTACTTTGATCCTGGCACCCGTGGGCCCACTCCAATGTATTGAAGATCATTGTTCATGGGCCGAGCCAGAACCATCGAGTACAATACCACTTGCCAGCCCACCCGGACACATCGACCTACAATATTAATGTGGGCCCACAGTGGGCTGGCCCATGTCTCATGGAATAATGTCAACTTGGGCTGACCACATTTATAGGGTCAAGTCACTGAAGGGGCTCGGCTCAGATATAAAGACCTACCCGACATAAAACAAACTCATACCTACAAATATAACAGTCTCACCCTGCACAAAACCACCACAATGCCCCAGTCCGACAACTGACTGCATGAACCAGAACAAAACACAAACAAAAACACCAACACACCCCCCACATGACATGATACAACCTAAGAACAAGATGCTACACCGAAAAGTGAATGCCATACCCCAACAATATCGTACCACTCCACCTACCTATAAGAACACACAATACCTCCAAGAAGTAAAGTCAAAATGAGGCTGCATACATTGAAAATGCCTGCAAACATGAGCACACTATCTTCCAACCATATAGCCTCCTCCTACACACACATAAAAACTGAACAAAAACCCTGCACTGGAAAATACTAACAACTAATGTAGTATCTGACTACACACCCCCCAACAACAGACTACTATAGAGATACACGCTAAGCTTCGACGTCATCCGGGTGTGACCAACTGAAGCTTAGCTTCGAAGATTTGAAGACCGCTGTGACCTGTGACACCTCAGAAATAGCTTTGAAGGTTGAGCCACCGTTTGCGCACACTGCAGATGTTGAGCTCGACCCTTGCAATGTTCCTGTTGATGCTGTACTAATCCACATGACATCAGGAGGGTCGGTCCCTCATGGCTACAGTACTGACAATTCTGGCAATCTGCCAGCTTGCAACGACACAGAAAGTTATGACCAAGAGCTCACAGCTTTCACCACTGAAGGTGATGAAGAGATTGTTGGTCGTGGAAAGCACAAATACTCAGTACAAAGTTTTTTGGAAACATTGACCGTAATCTACACATTTTTTCATGTTTTACCATATGTCACAATTTACCTTCAACTGAGTTCAATTTTGTGTGACAGTCACATGAAATAGCTTCGATTCATTAGATGTGTGATGCTGTGACAAAGCTAAGTGCATATCTCTACAGTAAATGGAAACAAGACATAAACTATCCCACTCCATCCCCCCAGCCACTGCTAAAATACATCATGGCCCCCCTAAAACAAAACCCTGACTCCCCTGAAAAAACCAAAAATGAAACACTACACCCTAACACAAAACTGCATAAACACCCTCCACACACCCAACACCCACAAATTCCACTTTCTGACACAGCAACAGAATACCCCCCCCCCCCCAAATGGAACCCACCCCCTGACTAAAACTGCTTATAAGTCCCCCCAGAAACCATGGAGGATCCCCAACCTTCTTGACAAAGATGAAAGACCTGTCCAGTATTGAAACTGCCAGCATCAATGCTTGCCCCTCTCCAATGGGAACACATCAAGCACTTCCCAGACATCATCGCACTAGGTTCACAATTCTTCCCCCCTGTTAAGACCATAGCTCAAGGGTTAACGGATCCAAAGGGCTTGGCCTCAGCTCATACACTGTGCCTCTTACCCGAGTATGTGCCTTTAATTTCAGAATGAAGTCCGGATGGGATCCGATGAGGTCCAAAGGACTTCTGGAAACTGGCTACTCTGGTGGAGTGCTGAAGGACTTCCCATGGTAAGCTTCTTAGATGGAAACACATAGAGGAGGGACTGCAATGGACAGAGTCCAAAACAGGATAGGATAGGAGGAGTGGTCTGAAGGACAGGATGTCCGGAGGTCCGAAGGTTATGACATCCGAAGGGTACGTTGTCCGAAGGTTACAATGTCCGAAGGTCTAGGAGGACCAGAGAAGTGGACAGGAGGGGAAAGGCTACTATGGACAAGGTCTGGAGTAGAAACAAACAGAGGTAGACTACACTTAAGTAGAGACGGAGTTAACAGGAAGTAGATAGAAGTCTCGGAAAGACAGGAAGTGCCGGAAAGGCAAAACTCCGGCTTAGGGAGTCAATCCCTAAGCATGGATGTAGATGGAAGGATAAATCCGGAGGACCGGAAAGTCGGCCTAGGGAATCCTTCCCTAGGCATAAGGAAAGGCAATACTAAGATGGACCGAAGTCCGAGAGCAGATGTGAGAGAGAGCAAGTCTATGTTGAATGAGTGAAGTCTAATATGATATTTGAAATAAGGAAACTTTACAGGAGTCGTACAGAGGTTTATATACTGGAAAGGATCTGAGAGGATCAGTAAGCTGAACAGCAAATGCTATGATGCCTACCCTGCACTACCTTGTCCCATCCATCCCTCCCACTATCTACCTCACACCATCTTGTATCTCCACACTCGAATATATCCTCCTCCTCCCAAAAAACATGACCCCCCAGTGATGTAAGTTTAACCCTGACCATAAACTTAAAACCCACATGTCTAGCCTCGCAGGGCAAAGTCTAGATGACCCCCCCCCCCCCAATCCCGGCTCCAAATATACTGATTGGAGACCCACTGTGCTGAGAAGCTGAAGTGACCACCAAAGAATGAGTGAGCTCAGGACTCACCCCTTTAGAAAGCATGAACATATGTCCACCATGGCTGCCTGGGATATGACAGCCCTCACCTCCAGATGGTCATAGAGGACAGTGCAGTATCTAAACTACTACCCACACTGATCCCAATAACAATTTTGATGGTTTTTTCCTGGCCTTGGTTTGAGCCTCCTGAGTAGCAGAGGAGGGAGTCCTCAAACTGCCGGGCCTCCCTCTAATGATGCTTCCCAGGAGATTGGAGGTGGACCCCTAGAAATGCCACGCCAGGCAAACGACAACCAAAACCAAAACCAAAACAGAAACACCCAAACCCCCCCTAAAAAGAAAAAATTGAGGGCAAACATCCTCCTCACCACACTAAATATGAAAGGATGCACATTGACATACCTTGGAAACAGCACTACATCAAAATGGCCAGCACTACAAAGTGTAATGAGAGATAAGAAAATCAGAATCCTATACATCCAGGAGACCCACCTAACAACAGAGCATGAACAACAAATTGACACCCTATACACATGAAGACTTAGAATCATAAACTCGAAGGACCCATATCATCCCAGAAACTCCGCAGGGGTGGCCTTTGTACTAAAAAAAGAGTTAATAGACACAACAGATGTAGAAATAACAGAAATCATACCGGGTAGGACACTGGTAATAAGACTAAAATGGTGCAATAATGAAAACCTTACAATACTAAACATCTATGCCCCAAACAACCTCATCACAACACCATGAGTTTTAGAATACCATAGTGAGAACCTGGCAAGAAAAGAACTTACCACAACTCAACTTCATGATGGGCGATTTCAACATCATAGAAGAACCAATAGACTGGGCCCCAGCCAGACTAGATAACGAAAACACCACGAGTGCACTAAGAGACTTACAACAACAAGTAAATGTACAAGACACCTGGAGAGCCACACACCTGTCATTAAGACTCTTCACTTTCTACAGCAACATGAACACTCACTCATGATTGGACTGGATATACACAGCCCTGAACCACAAACAGAACACACACCACTGGGAATCATGTACATCAGCGATCCCATCTGACCATAGGATGATATTAGTAAGATTTGTGCCATTAAATGCACCATTCATCAGAAAAGGCCACTGGTCATGGCCAATAAGCATGATCAGCAATGAAGAACTAATCAAAGAAATGAGCAACATTGGAAAAACAGTGCAACAAAAGATAATAACACAATGCACAAACAGAAATGAAACAAATAGCCCACAGCAGAGACTGGATAACAATGAAACAAAGGTTAGCAACCCCTTCTTAATATCATGGGACCCCCCAACAAAAGGCCCAAGAGCCAACACCCAACCTCTTGAAATCTGCTTGCTCCTGAAACTGCCAGAAAATTCAATATCAGCTTTGCCCCAATCAAAATATTAAAAAGAATAAAAAAACAACTCCCTGCCTGGAGTCATGGGAGCCCCCCCAGAGAACATACCATAAAACAAAAAATAGATGTCTACATGAATCACATAAATCAATAACCGTCAAACACCTAATCAAAATATTGAAAAGATTATCACATACAAGAGACTACCCCCCCACACACCCCGAGGAAAACCTGCATATGCACACACAGTGAAAAAGATCACCTGGCTGGATGTAAGAACCCACACTTATGCACTACAACAGCAAGAGAAATCCTTAACAATTAGCCCCAAAGTTCAACACAAAGTCCAAACCAAAAAAAGACGGACTATCACTAACTCACTGACAAAAAGTTTGGGGGTCACTACTGGACAAAAATAAATTGCGACTTGAATTGACCTGATTGTGCTTAAGATATGACAGCTCATGATGAATAACGGTGAATAACGGTGTATGATGACCTAGGCATGGTCAAAAAATTAAGAAGGAAAACAAAATGCGGGAACCTTAGCACAAGATCAAGGTCGTGTGCAAGGACAAGTTCAAAACATCTTGATGTATCTTGATTTTAATTTCACCTTCGCAAGGCACCACTCTGCTTTTGGTTTGATTAGATTCAATGCAGGCTCGTCTTTTACTTCTACTTTGATTACGCATTTGGCTGTGTGCATCACTGAGTCACCACTTGTTGGGACACGGGTAGGCATTACCTGGATATCCACCTGGGTACCACCCGCAGATGGAACGTGGTATGGATGGTACGGATGGTGGGTAACTTGGATGGTTCCACCTGCATGGGTACAGGTCAGAGGTCTTGCTGAACTCAAGTATCTGCAGGTAGTGTTGCCGCCGAGGCGAATCGAATCGAGGTGGGAAATTCAGGCATGCCCACAACAACGATCATTTGCAAGTTACTAGTACATGACCAGCAAATATATTAATTACAATCAATGTCTCTTGCATTCTGGAGCAACTCGTCAAGCTCGTGCAAAGATCCGGCCTAGAGTCCTTCTCAATACATGCAGGACAGATGAGATTAAGGAAAACATACAGAAGTATGGGCTCATTCCATTCGACAGCCCGATCTACATGTGCAGGTCTGTTTCTCATCTGGAATTCAGCACCGCCAGTCTTTACCACCACATGGAAGCCAGCAGGGATGCGTCGGAGACCAAGACTGAGATCAGCTGCATGAATGGCTTGAGAGAAATTGTCAATATTCATTGCTGCCATTCGTGAGACCAGCAATAATGATAGGGAAGGCGGGTGCATCTTGTCCGAGAAATGCGTGCATCGACAGGCTCCTTGAGGGAAGGATGACGTGGAAGGTAAGTGGCTTCAACCAAGGGACAGTCGGTCGGAATGATTGCAGTTCATGATCAGAGTCTGATGATAATCGTCTTCAGTTACAGACGACTAGTTGCGCGTTCCTAGAGGGTCGCCGAGAACACGCTCCACTGCGTTGAAGTTGATACAATTGTGAGGAGTCAGTGGAATGAGGAAATAAGTGATAGGGAGAGTGTGGGGGAGGGTAGGTTTACAAGACTTCGACGGAAGCATTGCATTTGCAGTGTTTGCCAGCAAACGTGTCACGTGATTATCGAACCGAAATTTCGAGCTTGTTTCTTCAGTTAGTACCACTGGGCACTGTTTTTCAGCTGTGTTGATGCTTCACAAGGGGGTCAACGAGTGCTAGGTGCGTCGGGATGCTTCATAAGCATCTGAATCTTTCAGAAAGGCTGATGCTCATGCACTCGCCCTGAGTGAAGCAGCTCACTGCCTGTAAGACTTTGCATGTCCTATAACGTCTTTCTTACCAACAGAGTCATATCCTACTAGTATCTGGTTGCTCGCTTCCAGCTGTGCCAAGATTGCCTGATTATCTGGGCCCCCCGCATCAGGTCGTTCCCCGCTGGTATAAATGCCTCGGATTCATCACTTAGATCAGGTGTGTCTTCACCCATCACAGAGATGCGTCAAGTTCACCTCGCCGTGCTCCTTGGCTTTGCCGCTTTTGCCACAGCTTTGCCATCACCCTCCATTGCTACTCATGATTACAATCATTACAATCCTCACTCAGCCAAAGATGCCAAAGTGCTAATCCTTGGAGGAGGTGTTGCTGGCATCATTGCAGCGTGCATGTTACACCACTTGACTTTTGAACTGCTACTATTCAGAATGACGAAACACAAATTATCAAGGGATTCGACTCAAGAAACCCACACATCTAACGAAGCAACAGCTCGTGGAAGCTCGGTACGTAGTTTTTGAGCATCACTTCATTCACTCCACTTCAAACACTGACATTGACTCATCCTTCGTCTAGCACCGACCCTGTAACAGAGCCGGGGTCAAGAGCAATGTTAAGTACAGTGCAAAGAAGTTAAGGATATTGGTGAGTCCACGAGCGTGCGTAATGAGATCCTAGAATACAACTAACATTGCAACAAGCGCTCAAAGGATTCCCATAGCCCTGCTCCCCCGAATATCAAGGTAGGTTCTCAAACTTGCCCTTTAGTCTGTGCTCTCTCTAAATTTTGGTGGCCATGCAGGATCAGGCTGCCTCATCTGGTGTGGAACTGGAGGCTGATATCCAATCAGCACTTTGGGATGCACAAGAGGCTGCAAGACGCATGTATCCACTTCCTGGACCTGCGATAACTGTGGCGTCTGTTGACCAAGACGCACAAGCGGATCTCGATGCTGCTGATGGTTTCCAGGACACATATTTGAAACCCCTCAGGATATTCGACACTGTTATTGGAGAGATTGCGAATGTATGCAGGTTCTCCTCTCGATCGGAGCTGAACTAAATATACAAAGATGGCACTGGGTGTGTTGTCTTTTGCAGCCAAAGTACATTTTCTTTTTATCTCTTCCCATCTCCCACCACTCAGCAATCATTATTCTAGCTCAAGTGGATCACGATGAAGTGGTACTCAAACTTCTCGAGAAAATATGTCAAGTTTACAGTTTTGTGACACAAGACGAGAACCTTCAACAAATTTTGTCGATGCACACTGTCCTTGGCAAGTCACTCGCGATGTAGCCGTACACATCCACCATACGGGTAAGGGTTTGGACGTACTTGTGACTTGACTTATATTCATACCTTTTCAGAAGAGTTACTGGACCTCAACGGTATGACTTATGCAGAGGGCACGGGACTAGATACCAGGAAACAATGCCTTGAAGGGACGCGCATGGAAATCCTTTCCCAGATCACGGAATGGGTCAATAGCACTGGGGACAACGTTCCACGTGTGCTGTAGCTATCTATCTGGCCCTGCAGGCAAGGGCAAATTGGCCATCGCCCACACCATTGCTAAGTGGGTCAATGACGTGGGAGGGCTTGGTTCATGTTACTCTTTTGACCGCCAGCGAGAAGCAGATCGTCGCCATGAAAAGATTTTTCCACCATCACGCACGACCTGGCTGACTGTGATCTGGAAATGAGGTGGGCATTATCAGATGCCGTTGAGCCTGCGAATTCGCTCAAGAAGATGGCCGATATCATCCAGCAGTGGCAGAAGATTCTTATTGAACCACTGGAGAAGTCATCTGGGTCGACTGGGGAGCCCATCGTGATCGTGATCGATGCACTGGACGAGAGCGGTGGAGTAGAGACACAGAAAGACCTCCTCGGCATTCTAGCTGGAAAACATCAAAACCCCTCCGTTTCCAAAATAACAGACCTCCCTGGCAACTTCCGCTTCATCATTACCTCTTGCCCACTTGGTGACATCAATGATGAGTTTCAAGGTGTTCGGCATATTCAACAGATGTTGATGAATGATATTCCAAGAGCAGTTGCAGAGCATGACATCCATGCTTACATATCCAATGAGTTGGAAGTGTGCCATTTTCAGGACAGAGAGTTTGCAGTCCTCGCTGAGAAAGCTGATGGACTTTTTGAGTGGGCGCGTCTCACTTGCGCATACATCAAAAAGTCCCATACTGGGCTATCTTCAAAGGATTGCTACGAGGCTGTAGTGTCACGCGATCCTGCTGAGAGAAGTCCGCTGTTGCACAACGTGTATCACATCATTTTAAACAGATATCATGCACGGGGATACATCTCCACACACACCGAAACTTCGTTCGATAGAGCTAGCAAGATTTCGCTCAGTAATGGGACAAATACTAGGCACAGCTGAACCATTTAGCTTCCCTGAACGCCCTGAGGCACCATTTTCCAAAGCGAGAGGACCAGTTCGACGTGGAGTTTGTGGTAAAAAGTATGGGCTCCCTCCTCACCGGCACCACCAACCCAGTTTCCCCAATCCGACCCCTTCACACATCCTTTCATGATTTCTTGATGGATAAAACATCCAGTGGAGAGTTTTTCATCGACCTGTCAAAGGTGCAATGCGACCTTGCATTCGCATCACTTTGATTGATGAAAGACGAGAAAGACGGTCTTCACTTCAATATCTGTGATTTAAAGTCGTTGTATCTGCCTAATAGTGAAGATCCCAGGCTACAAGAACAAATTCAAAAATTCATCTCCCCACATCTGTCATACTCATCTCGATTTTGGACATCGCACGTACGAGCCACAGCCTTCAACCAGGGGCTTGTGAAAGAAGTGAAACTGTTCTTCGACCACAAGCGGGTGTTTTCTGGCTCAAGTTGCTCGCCCTTACCAATGCGCTCAGCGGTGCAGTTTGTGCCCTTCTGCCTATTGCCCAGTGGCTGAAAGTGAGCACATTGCTACTAGGTGTCAGATAAAGGGCTCATGATCAACCACAGGGCGATTCCGAATTCAATGATGTCTTGTTGACTGCAATGGACGTACAGAGGTTCATTCAAGTTTTTGGCAGCATCATTCTACACAGCACACCCCATCTGTATGTATCAGCACTCCCATTCTTACCTACCAACTCTCCACTATCGAGAAAGCTTTCTGCACGATTTCCAAATATTCTTCGTGTGGCATCTGGACATGACATAAACTGGCCGGCTGTTGTGAATTGCAGACTCCATCTGCATTCCATGGTATTTCGTGTCACAAAAGTCAGTCTGAGCCACGGTGCATCCGGGAGACTCGATATGAAGTCAAGGCAGATCTACAAATGAATGGCATATCATGTCTAGGTTACCAGACGGTGCAAATCGACTCTGATTGATAGTGGTTGTGGATATTGTGTACTACCTATGTCCCTGGAAGTCGTATCTACAGTTCCCAACAATGTACATTTTGTCACCCGTGGGTGACCCGTACCATCTGCGGATCCACCTGTGGTAATCTCACCCGCATGGGTGCAGGTAGGCCTTTGAAGTTCTATCCACCCGCGGATTGGGTACAGGTGCCACCCAGGTGCATTCACGTCACACCCTAACTACTTGTATGGATGCTGCTCACTTGCAACAGCAGATACATCCAATACCAATCCAAACTATTCGGGCAGCTTACACCGAAATTGGACAACGGGTCAATACTGCCCTTCGCACACAGGTGGGAGATGCTGCTCGCTTGGGAGCGCAGCGAAATGAATGTTTGAGGTTGCTGACACTTGTAGGACAGGCAAGTCACTACATTTAACACTTATACAACCTCTGACATAGTATTTGTAGCACATGGATCTCTTCTCTGCTGAGGAGGCTACTACTATCGAGACTAGTATTCACAACATGATCAGTCACCTTGACGAGGCTGCCCAACACTCATCTGATCCTTCCGATGCACCTCCTTTGACCATTACTCACAGGGTGCCCACAGGAAGTCGAGGACAACCAAGATATGATCTTGATCCCACAGTCTTACAGGCTGCGCTACAACTTCGAGGGCCAACAGACCTAGCATCTGTTTTGGTGTCGCACCCCATACAGTCCGGCAGCACGCCCTTGAACATGGTTTTGTTCAGCCAGGGCCACCTGTGTATATTGAATATGTAGCTGAGGATGGGTCAATTACTCGTATCTATACATCATCAACAGCTCCTACATCCGACCTTTCTGATCAAGAATTGGATGAAATCACAGAGCAGGTGCTCGAGCTTTTCCCAAATTTCGGGAGATGGATGCTCGATGGGCACTTTTGCTTTCTTGGTCATCATGTGCCCCGAAGCCGCATTTTAGAGTCATATGCACGAGTTCATGGGGCACCCACCACAATGTTTGGGGCACAGAGGATCCAAAGGTGAGTCTACTCAGTTCCAGGACTGAATTCACTCTACCATCACGACGGTCAACATGGTACGTATATATACATTCATGTGAAACTACAGTATTTCCTGAAGCATCACATAGCTCTGATTCACTATAGACTCGTGATTCATGCATTCATAGATGGCTTCTCAAGATTTGTCACTGGCATACGTGTCAGTGACAATAACTGTGCTGAAACTGTTCTCAGCGTATTTCTGGACATTGTAGATGAACATGGCATGCCCAGTCGTGTACGAGGTGACCACGGAATTGAGAATTTGCAAGTTGCAGAGTGGATGGAAAATCGTAGGGGTGTTGAACAAGGTTCATACATATGGGGGCGGTAAATATTCATTACAGATGTACATGAGTATATCGCACTGATATTCAAATTTCAGCAGTGTACACAATGTTCGCATCGAATGTCTCTGGCGTGACATGACTCAGGGCTTCGGGAGGAAATGGAAGCAGTTCTTCCAGCTCCTGGAGGTTCATCATGACCTTAAACCGAACCTGGATGCTCACATCTGGCTACTGCATCATGTATTTCTTGATGCAGTAAATGAAGATGCTGTTCAGTGGGCAGAAGCCTGGAATTATCACCGTTTACACATTCCAGGTGGAGGGCAGTGGAGCCCTCGAGACTTATTCTTTTCTGGCATGATTCAGAATGGTGCCCATGGTTACGATCCGACTTCGCTTCCAGGTGACAGTGAGATTGGCGACATTCAGGAGTACGGGATTGATTGGGAGGATTATGATGACAATGACATTCAAAATCATCATGACGATGCAAACACTACTGATTTGGACGACCAGGCTCAAAACCCCTTCTTCACGCATCGACCTCAGTATCTCTCTGATATTCATGTTCCTGAAACATATAGCCCTTTGAGCCATCAGCAAGTGCAATATCTGGATGATTATATTGCAGGTCACCCTGACAGTGGATCGCAGAGCATGGACAGGAGAAGGTCACTTTGGGTAGATGTGCTTAATTTCTGCGTCGAGATGTTCAGTGTCTCCTATCACCAGTGAAAACTGGGCATCATATTTTCGATGAGAAAATGCTGGAGTCAACAGTGGTGGTGAGGTGGTCAGTAGCTTTGTTTCAAATCTCAATCTGCCCATTACCAATTGTTTGTCTGGCGAAGAGGTGCACCTCGTGTCTGACCCATCTTGATTATCCGACTTATTTGGCTGCTTGGATAGGATACTGTTGTTCTGAGTCGGTGGTCACATTTATGTGACCTCGGGCCCATCTCACTCGCCCTTTTGCTGCCCTGTTCGAACTAGTGTTTGAGAGCAGCAAGTACTGATTGATCTTGTTAACAACTATCACCATGGGTTTGTTGCAAAGCAAGCACTGCGGCAGGCACATTTACCTTGCCTTCAAGGACATTTGCCTTGTCTCACCCCTGCTAGGCTCAGCGACACGTATCTCGGTTTTGGTACTGGCGTCCCTCTATTTCCTGCAAGTCTATCACTGGAAATAACGAACAACATGCATATGAGGACCTCAGAGCCCAGGCTGGGTGTTTGGCTTAGCCAAGACAGTGTTAGATTCCACCGCTACAACTGAACTGTACGAACATTGGGCCAGGGAGTACGACCCAGTGTACAAGGTCCCGGGTGTCTTTGAACAGTCCATGGTTGTACTGTCGTGGGCTGATGGTGAAAGTCACAAAAGGTTGGAAGTAAGACCTCTGAGTTGTGCTGAGCTAAATTCATGTCATTTTCTCTCATTCATCAGGCAGCGCAAGGCCCTCAGTCCTGCCTTTAGCGCAGTTGCTATTCGCAGCTTGACATCTGTTTTCCATGATGCTGCTCACAAGGTCAGTCACTAATTGATTCACCCTGCACTTCACTCAAAATGTGTTACAGACATTGATCGCTTGGGACAGTGAGATAGAATCGAACCAAAGTACTCACTGCGCAGTAATTGATGTTCAACAATGGTAATTTTTCTCCCCAAAGTTTTGTACCTGCGCACTCAAACACATTGTGCAGGATGAATCATATCTCGTACGTATATCCATTCCTTTCTACCAGGCTGATGTCTTATCAAGCACCTGCTACATAGACTCGACAGTGTGGGCATAGCCGTCCTGTCCCATGACTTCAGCGCACTCGGTGGAAATGACTCCGTTGTTGGGCACGTCCTGAATGCATTTAGTTCATCCGTCGATGTTTCCAACAACTTGGTCATATTGGCACAAAACTTTCCTTTCATTGTGAAGCTGCCATTACCTCGCACACAATTCTCCCTAAAGTTTCGCCTGATAGTTGGCAAAATATGCCAGGAGATGCTATCGCGGACACGCAAGGAAAAAGAGACTGGTGGCGCTGCGCAGGGGGACAAATCATGTTTGGGTTTGCTCTGTGAGTCCTGCTGTTCATTTGCCAAATTTTAAACCCTAAAATTGTTGTGTAGTGAAAGTGGAGGAATCTGGTGAGAGGGTGGGACTGACTCCACAAGAAGTAATACTATAGACAAGGTACACGACTCATGAATCTAGACGTGCAGACAAAGCTTTGCGACAAGTGTCTAGAGTTTGGACCGACCCCCTCATATGACGACTGTTAAGACCGTACTCAAGTAGTATCAGATCCAAAGGGCTTTGGCCTCAGCTCGTACGCTGCGCCCCTTTCCCGAGTCTTGCCCCTTATTTCAGAGTGCTAGAGTATCGCGTCTAGTGAGATGGATAAGTCTCGTAACGGATCTGTTAAGGCTTCCGGATATCGAATGTATAGAGTAACGGCTAATCTGGATTGGATCCGAACTAGAAACTGACGGGCGAAGACTGTCCGAAGACAGAGACGGATATATAGACTATAGGAATCAATCCTAAGTCTCAGAGTAGACAAGAGTATCGTACTCAAGTCCAGACGGATAACGGAGGGACTTAGAGTCCAGGCAGAATGAGTGCAATCTAAGATGATATTCGAACTGATCTACTACAGCGCATGTACAAGGGTTTATATACTATGGATAACTAACGGAATGATCAATAAGCAAAGGTGCGAGGCTATGTACGAAGTATAAGCAAAGTATGTGTACAGCATATTGGTAAGTCGGATGGATAATGTATCATAACCGGGAATGAAGTATAAGCTAAAGTGGATCAGTAAGTGTAGCAGATCAGTAAGCATAATGGAAGTAAAGGATAACCAGTATACCGGTGTACAGGAATGCCAAAGGAGATGAACAATAGTTAGAGTTATATGAACAGGACATGAAATAAGGATTAGATCGGATCTGTGGAACGGACGACGGATATGTCCATCGGATCTGGATTGGATCTGAGATCTGGATCTTCGGATCTGTACCCAGGAATATGGTATATGACAACGACCTTGTGAATAAGCTTCCCTACCTGGACGCTGTGGTGAATGAAGTTCTTCGCCTTCATGCCGCAATGCTGAGCAGAAGTGAAGAATTTTGATTTGGGGGTACACTGGCAGGGCTGGAGATTCTCATCTCTGAATTTCTGGTAGTATTAAACTGTGACGGAGAACACATAAAAGTAAGGAAAAAAAGTGAAAGGGCTCCCCATCTCCCATCTTTGCCCACCCAGTATCACACCCACCCATTCAGCTTCTCTCACCAAAAATGATCTTCAGTATCTTCGCCCTCATTTCGTTTGCCCTCTTCGCTGCTGCTCAAAGTCAGTGAGACACCGGTATCATTGTGGCACTGAAAAAAGTGTCCATGCGGTTGGTCCATATATGGCATGTAAGATTGACATGCGACCTGCTATAGATGATGCCCTTCCTGTGATATATGTATATCATGATTCTAGAGACATGGTCGTTTTTTTTTTTGCATCCCTCTTCCACTACCAGCATTCACTTTACACCGATAATGGCCTCTTTTCCACCTCGTTTTTCATGCTGATCATGCACAAATGTAGATGACTCTTGTTGTGCTAAATTTACAGCTCAAGATTTCCAGGTAGGTCTTCTCAAGTCTAAAACTAACTGCACGCTAACCACTGTTTTGTCGCAGAATGCAATGAATCCTCTATGTTACTGTTCCCATCCATATTTTGACCATAATACAAGTGAAGGTCCTCTTGTACCACCACCCGCCAATCTTCCCCCCAAAGGGGGCTGTACTACGTCTAACTGTTTGCTATTTCAGACCAATGTGAGTTTTGTCAAATTTCCTTGATTCCTGAGAAGATTTCCTCACGTTCCATGCATAGAATCAAGCCCCAATCAGCGTGCATAGCATTTGCGTGTGTGGTAAAGGGTGGCTTGCACATGCCAATTTGTGAGTACCACCCAGCACTCAGTTCGTCTTTCTACTGTTCGACTCATACCAATTCAACAATGTCATATGATAGAAGTTGTGTGGTCAGCACTGCTCATCACTCTGCTGGGAGCACCGCAGATCAAGTTCCTGTTGAAGCTTGGGCTCCATCACCCACTCTCATAGCAGGATCAACAAATGACCGCCGAGTGGCATCATACCGTGGTCATGCACCCCATCGCATGGGGGTTACATTGAATGGTGGCCCTTTTGTAGCCACCACAACCACTGGTGCAAACACCCGCCATTTGGGCAATACTGCTTCTCGTCACCGGCCTTCAGGGCCTTTCCTGCAATCAAACCGGTGTTCTCAAAACAATGCATGTGATAGTATCACCTTCAAGGTTGTATTGATACTGTACCCAGTGAGTATCATGTTTCCCTCGCCAATTCATTCCCTTGGCTTATGACTCTCATTCCAGATCTGCACATGAGGCCTCTTATGATAGAATCTGAAGAACCTCTACCATCTAGCCTCAAACTCAGTCGACAAAAGCTTCCTGATCTTTATCGGTGTCTAGATTCTCACCACCTCATCATTGAAACCACGACAACCATTGGAGATTCTGTGATTCTCAACCAACTTGACTCGCAAATCAACACCCACTTCTTGAGTCACAATATCTGCTTTCCTTCATCGCTTTATGGGGACTACCAGCCCAGTGGTGGACATCTCGAATACAAGAAACTTAATTGGGTCATCCTTGAGCTCGGGAAGCTTAGTGCTGACCAAAATTCCCAGCTTTTGAAGATGGCCTTGTTTACCTCGAGGGATATCACAGGCAATGCACTCTCAGCATTGATGTGAAAAATTGCAATAACAATGAGGAATCCAATTGATGATGTACCGCTCCTTTCATAGGTATGACTAACTCACTCTTTGGCGAGTGCTCATTCTGACTTGTTTAGATTTTAGTGCCAAGGTTTGGAACATTGAGAGGGACTCTTGTATCAGCAGCTGATACTACTGTCCACCCTCTGTTTTGCTGCACGGGTGATGGATACTTTTTTCACTGAGGCCATTCCTGAGCCATCACGAGATCCGAAATGTTTATTTTCTTGTCCATCACAGTCTGATGATCTCTCAGACTCTGATGATGATAGTGTATGTCTTTTTTGTCCTCAATATGGTTTTTCATGCTCACTAGATTATATTCTAGCTGTCTATGAGTATCTCAGAGCAGATTGCACATCAAAATGTGAGCGGCTCGCTCCTTTAGTTTTTATTCTAGTCTGATCATCACAAGCAGGGCATGCCATCATCCTCTTCAGCTCCATCGTCCTCTTCAGCTCCATCATCCTCTTCAGCTCCATCGACTGTCCAAACTCGGCACCGCAATGTAACCTGCACATTTGGCTCCAGACCTACATCAGTTCGTCATGAAGCATCATCTCATGCTTCGCCATTTACTATGCATGCACCATCTACTATGTGCCCATCATTATCAGAAGAGTCATCAACACATGTGACTTGGTCACTAACTCAGCGGCGCATCAGTCTGCCAAATAGTGCACCACCTCCCAGCACTCATGCTTTGGTTGTCACCATTGACCTCACCAGCAATGATACTCCTGTATTCACCTTGATTATGGAGTGGGCAGATTATGTACAAGCGCATGGACCCAGAGAGACTCCCACCATCATTCCATGGAGAGTCAGGGCACCGAACATCGAGCTAGGTGCCCTGGCATTGATCGCTTTTATTGAAGCCCAGCATAGCCGCACTGTGGTCGATTTGTCCAGAGAGGAGTTTGAAGGTACACTGATAGGATTTACAACTGGGAACGATGGCTCAGACATGAACTTGTCGAGCCTCTTCATGGCTGATTGCACATTCAAAGTGTACGTGTCAAATTTCTCATATTGCCTTCTATGCTTACTAGTGCTACCAGTGGGGAAGGAATTGGTGTTGGTGCAGAATGTGCGGTAATTTCTAGGGCAGTCAAAATTGTTCTCGACGACTGTTATATGTGGCAGGTCACCAACAACGAAGGATTCAGATGCCCTTCAATCATTCCCTTTGCCTCCAACAGTGGAAGGCTCAATCGTTTCAAAACACACGGAACATTATGTGCTCTTCATATCTTCCGTCTTCATCTGCCTCCCATGCCATGCTCTCCTTTTTTATTATGTTATGCCATCTGGGGTTTTGACGCCCTTGTTGATCCTGCCTTTGTTCAGAAACTTGCTCCAGATACTGCTGCGTCCCTTGTTGCCCTACCTCTTGATCCAGCACAGCCTCTGTACTGCTCTCTTACTGGTCCTCTTTCTCCCCTCCTTGCGACTTACTCTAATATTCAAGTATGTGTTGCTTTGACTTATTTATCATTAGCAGCTAACAGTACTATGACAGCCAACACAGCTGCCTGCTAACATGTCAGTTGAGCAACACATGGAACTTGTTGGACAAGTCTATGCCAATGTGCTCCTTGGTTGCCCTCCCAGAGCCGCACTGGACATGTTGAAGGAGGTGTTCTACTTTTGTCAAGGATTTGACGCCTCCTTCAGCAACAATGTGTTATCATTTTGTGATGTGAGTAGTCGACCATTGGGATCACATAGAGCTGACACGTCAAAATAATAGACCTTGAAACCTTCCGCAAAGGATTTGTTGTGCCTAATATATGATCAGTGCATTGCCTCGCCCAGCCAAGTCATAGAGCGACTGGAATTTGAGGTTGCACTTGTCAGACAGTCTGATGGTACTGAAGTTGATGTCGTTGACTCAGATACTGAGAATGCCTTCATCCTGCATCTTACTCGTTACCTGCGAGGCAAGGGATATCCTAATCATCCTTTGATTTCAGAATATGTTTCAGAGTCTGAGAGGAACAGCCAGGAAAATAGCACGACCTTCAGGGCCATGCAAATGTTACTCTCTGTATCTGGGAATTGCTGTCTTCCCACTGACCCCATGCAGAAAATCATTGTACGTCCCTTCTGACCCATGTATGATCATCAGATTGATATTAACCATCGCACTCCTACTAGTGCCGTTTTGTGAAGAACCTGCCGGCGCAACATGCGCATGTCAAGCCTGCTGGTGCTGATGATAACTGGGAGGTTCGTTGTCTAATCCTGTTGTCATAGTAAAATTGGACTGATGATCATAATCTAGCCTCTTCTTCCCATTCAGTTTCAAACCTGTACTTATCAAGTTTTTGTACCGGTGTAGAGACTCGCGTTTCTGCAGGCACATATGGGCACATTTCGCACCTTTTCACAACTCATGACAATTGGCCTTCAAGGCACAACTTGCACCATCAGCTATATTCGACTTCTATCATGTCTCTAGTTGTTTTACACATAACGCGCAGCTTTCCCGCGAAACGCGCCATAGGCGCGCTACTTTCCCACACAACGCGCAGCATTCCCGCGCGCGCTTAGCGCGTTTCTCTCGCACTTGTCGCCCTACTCCATACGCAACTTCTGCTATGTCTCCAGTCATTTGCGCATACAATGCACAGCTCTCCTGCAAAGCGCACCATAGGCGCAACACTTTCTCATGCTTTCGCGTTTCGCGTTCCCGCACGCACGCTTAAGCGCACTCCATCGCGCATCATCCAGGAGCATCCATCCATCGTCCAACCAGTTCCTAGGTGTGTCCCTTTTCATTATCAGACCATATTTAGCCTATTACACTTTGTATTTCGTTATGCACCCTTACTTTACATTGTTTTACCTCATTTATCTACTAAGAGCGCTCCCTATTCGGCTCCGAGCCCTGGGAGAGCACTTAGGTAGAACTTACATACTTTCATGTTCGTTGGACACCACAGCTTCCTACCACAGCTACCTACCACATCTTTCTACCACCATGTACTTGGCAGTTAGTTCCATGCAATGCATGCGTCCGTCGTCGTCTTAAGGCCCTAGCATCAGTCTAAAGCTAGTGGCAGTATCAATATCCATCTATATCCGCACTTTTCACCATATTATCGTCTCTCTACACTTGTGCGCTGCTCGCACTACCATCCCTGTCCTCCGCGCATTTTTGCCCTTTCACACTTTCGCCTTCCCGCACTTCGCGCATTTTTCGTGTTTCACTTTCCCGCGCACGCCTTGAGCGCATTTCTCGCGCTTACATCGCCCTTTTGTCGCCTTTGATCAGGGTTGATCAGCATCATTTCGTGGATCCTTGCTTTCTTTGCTTCCCTTAAGGGTCGAACATATCGCATGGCATATCAAGACCCAACATAGAGAGTGTTTGCTTGTCATCTGACTTGCGTTCACCTTTGTTGTGTTACCCACACCGGTTACAAGTGCTCTCATGGCAGCGCTGACTGGAGAAATTCCTGACGATGACAACCAAGTCACTCCATTTGATCTATGGGCTCATTTGAACTTATGCCCTCTCTCATCTAAAGGACCTGTGTACTTTAACACAACTTGATCATGATGCTATTGATATCTCAGTATAGCTATTGCACGCTGTTACACTTGTTGTCTGTCACTTCACATTCACAATTGCAGCATCATGTATCCTACTACATCACCTTTATGGCAGCTCACATCAACCCTCGCTCGGTTGACAATCATCTCTTGGGTATCTGTTGTCTCCATGTGACTTGCATCATCATTGCTCGCATCCTCATTAATCATTCTCGAGCTCCTGCAGCTCGGCAAATTCTGAGATAAAAAACAGTAACGAGCTTAATGGGACTGGCGGCTTGCTGCTGCTAAGTATCTATGTAGTTGACATGCTAATTTGCCATGTAAAAATGTGCTACATCAGATCTATTGATCTACTAAGCTCATGGCAAGCTGTAATTGTACATGCGTCTACTGAAGTTCCGGAGCTCTTTCACCAATGGGTTTAGCTAGATGCACAGTGGGAGAAATGACAAAGTTATTGAGCAACAGCTTCAGAGATTTCTTTCTCGCAGTAAGAGAAATTGCTCTTCCAAACCTCAGACGCAGTTCCTCTGACCTTCTAATGTCCTTCCTATGATTCGCAAATGTTCCTTCTTGTGCCCCAGTCCAATGAATAACATCCTTGCGTGTTACGCCTGCTGATGTGACCACTATTTGACTTTGCATATCAAGGCCAAGTGCATCACAGACTTTCTGCACTGTAAGATAACAAGTGTATGCAGTATACGCAGAGCCAAATCCAGGCTTGGATAGCAGTCGAACTTCATGGCGTTCAGTTGGGAACATGGCGCTAAGGTATCTGAAGGGATCCTTGTATTGCGAGACTAATCAGTACAAGTGTTATAGCTAGCACATGGAAATTTCACAGACGTACCACAGATCCACAGTCCTGAGTGTTTTCGGTATCATAGGAAGGGCTCTGTATCATTGCCCGCAAAGACGCTATCCACATGGCTTCTCCGAGGGATCCAGCAGTCACCAGAGGTGCAGCCTTGATAGAAAAGATGGATCCCATTGAATGCTGGTTATTCAGAGCAGTCTCAGAGTTTGAGGCATGTGGGAGTGTTGACATCAAGATGCAGGGTCTCTGGTGAGTATAGCGCTTGTTTGACAGGTGTATGCAGAGATTCAACTATCAGACATCAAGTTCAAATGCACATTTTTGCAGCGTGAGACAAGCCTGAGATACAAAACTAAAGAGGAAGCAGCATTTTCAAAAGCAAAATTCAGAAATCAGCGTTAAGATTGAATTTGGAAGGTCAAACTAGAATTAGACTCCAACTCTCTCTTTGACGTCCCAAATGGTGATTCACCATGATTCACTACTACCGAGTCCTTAGTCAGAAACGAAATTACAAAACCAAGAGTGTGATTTTTGTCCAATACGGTCCCCCATAAAAAAGAAAAGAACTCCCAAGCCCATGAACAAAGACAAGGAGAAATTCTATTTGACCCAACAATAATAATCAGATCCAACGTAAATGATGGCTTTAGAATATTTACTGACCCAAAACACACATCACTTACACCAGCCCACCGGCTACAAGCACCAACAATAGGTTTAAACCTTCTACAAGAAAAAATAATAATCTTCATTGATGGCTCCTGCATTAACAATGGAAAAAACAATGCACAATGTGGTAGTGGAATATGGATAGCAGAGAACCACCCAGACAACCTTGTGATAAGGATACCTGGAGAAAACCACTCAAACTAAATAGCAGAAATATCAGCCATACTTATCGCACTACAAAGAACAGAACCATACATACCCATTGCATTTATATCCGACTCAAAATATGCCATAGAAGGCCTAACCAAACACCTATCAAACTGGGAAGACATAGGATGGATAGGGATAACAAATGCAAAATACCTAAAAGCGACAGCATACCACCTATGAAGAAGATCAGCACAGACATCATTTCAGTGGAGAAAAGGCCACAGCAGTCACCTTGGAAACAAAGAAGCAGACCACCTCGCAAGTGAAGGCGCAAACAAATGGAAGAAGACCCCATCAACCTAACAATTGCCAACAGTTGTAATCTACAAGGAGTGAGACTATCAGCAATCATGCAGGCGTTAGCATACAAAGGAATAAGAGACAGAATAACCTCAGAAACGAGAAGAAAAACCGCCATTAACCTAGAACTAACCAGATATGTAATCCAAAACATAACAGGCCAAATAGAGAATGACACCACCATCTGGACTGGATGCAGAAACAAGGACATACAACAAACAATTAGACAATTCATTTACAAAGCAATGCATGGTGCTCACAGAATTGGCGACTACTGGCTAAACATCCCCACATATGAACATAGAGCAAAATGCACACATTGTAATGCAGACACCAAGTCCCTAGAACACATACTAATAGACTGCCCCAACAATGCAAGCAATTTAATATGGAGACTTGCTGAAAACATATGGCTGATGAAACACATATTGCAGTAACATATCTCCGTATTATACGAGTGAACGGATGTGCATAATATCCCGTATGATACGGGCCAGCGGACCATGGGCCGAAGGTAGATATATCCTCGACTGTGACGGATGGGCCGGGAGTGTTATTATTCCCGATGGAGACGGGTTGGCCCAGGTGGGGAATATGTAAAGTAGATGGGTGGGCCGATGGACATGAATTTTCAATAGACGGATCGGCCGAGGTAGTTGGATATTATGTAGATGGGTGTACCAAGGTAGATATGTATCAAATAGCCGGGTATATCAAGGGTGCTTGTTATCACATAGACAGGTGGGCCCAGATATATATCATATTAGACGGGTGGGCCGACGAATTAATATTATTTTGTAGACGGGTGGGCCGACGTATTGGTATTATTTTGTAGACGAGTGGGCCAAGGGAGCGGTGTGAAAGATTTATTATATACGGGTGGGCCAATGGTAGACATATATTGCATAGACGGGTAGGCCGACGTAGGGGTATATAATATAAACGGTGGGCCCAGGAGAATGATAATTGTAGACATGATGGAGCTCAGCTAGTTGTATATCATGAGGTAATAATTCAAAGTCATCTAATGATGTAGTATGGCATGGAGCCTTGCAAAGGGGTGAAGTGGAAACTCGAGCGAAGTGTACCGAGTTCCGAGACCCGGGTCTCGACAAATGAATATGTGATGTCCAGCACACTTCCGATCGTCTGGTATTTCATTGAGCAATATATGATAATAGATCTTTGAAAGCCAACATCATCCAAGCCTACCAAATGCCAAATGCCAAGTTCCAACTACCGAAAATCAAGTGAAGTGTACCAATATCCGAGCCCTGACTATCAAATCCCGACAATCGACCATTGAGTCCCGACTACCGAGTCTTGAAACCCGAGTCCCAAAGCCCGAGATTTGAGTCCTGAAACCCAATGCCCGACCATTGAATCCCAACAATCGAGTATCAAGTCCCGACCAACGAGTCCCAAATATTGAGTCCTGACCATCGAGACCCAACACCCAACACCCCAACACCCAACACCCAACACCCAACACCAACACCCAACACCCAACACCCGACACCCGACAACCGACAACCGACAACCGACAACGACACCCGACACCCGAGATTCAAGACTCAAGTTCCGACTATGGAGTCCCGGATATCAAAAATCAAGTGAAGTGTACTGAGATCTGAGTCCAACCTGAAGGATTCCTTAGGCTGGACTTCCAAACCTTTGGATTTGTCCTTCCATCTCTATCTAAGCTTAAGGATTGATTCCTTAAGCTGGACCTTTGCCTTTCTGGCACTTCCTGTCTTTCCAAGACTTATGTCTACTTCCTGTTATCTCCGACTCCACCTAAGTGTAGCCTACCTCTGTTTGCTTCTACTCCAGACCTTGTCCATGGTAGTCTTTATTCTCCTGTCCTATAATCCTGTCCACTCCTGCTGACCTCCAGACCTTTGGATCTCCGGACCTTTGGATCTCCGGACATCTTACCCTTCGGATATCAAAACCTTCGGACATTGTAACCTTGGACATCATGACCTTCAGACATCATAACCTTGGACATCTTACCCTTTGGACATCTGAACATTCAGATGGCGCAACCTTCAGACATCCTGTCCTCTGGACCACTCCTCCTATCTGATCCTGCTTTGGACTCTGTCCCTTGCAGTCTCTCCTCCATGTGCTTCCATCTAGGAAGCTTACCTTCAGAAGTCTTATCTTCGGACCCTATGCAGCAGGTGAAACTCCTCCAGAGTTTCCTGTACTTCTCTAGAAGTTTCTATACTCCTCCGGAAGGTTCCTGTGCTCATCCAGAAGTCCTCCAGCACTCCATCAGAGTAGCCAGTCTCCGGAAGTCCTTCGGACTTCATTGGATTTCATCTGGACTTCATTCTGAAATTAAGGGTATGTACTTGGGAAAGGTGCAAAATAAAATATACTGACTACCAAGTGCTGAGCACTAAGTGTCGAGTTCCAAGTTCTCGAGTCTCCGAGGTTCCGATTTCCGAGTGCCAAGTGCCCCGATGCTTTCGGGTATTACACCCAGTAGCCCTCGCTCTCAGGGGCCCATCAGAATTTAGATCATCTCAAACGGATGTGATTTGAGTGAGATATGAGCAAAATACTATATACCGGTGAATTTTGGCATCAGAAGTTCGATGCCTTTCAGGCATTGACAATGAAGATAGCCCTCTAATCTCAGGTGGTGTGGGGAGAATTCAGATGGTCTGAAATGGAATATATTTGAGTGAGATATATGCAAAAATACAATATATTGACTACTGAGTGCTGAGTACCAAGTGCCGAGTGCAAGTGGGCAGAGTGCCCTGAGGCTTTCAGCGGCATTAAAACACCGCAGGAATTAGCCCATGCCTCCAGGGCCCCATCAAGAATTTAGATCATCCTCAAACAGATGTGATTTAAGTAATGTGTCCGCAAGTGCGGAGGGCCGAGTCCCAAGTGCTGAGGCCTAGTGCCTGAGTTGGGTCCAGTTCCTGAGTTCCTGAGTTCCGAGTTCCGAGTTCCGAGTTCCGAGTTCCGAGTTCCGAGTTCCGAGTGCCCCTGATGCTTTTCGGGTATTAACACCCAGATAGCCCTCGCTCTCAGGGACCCGTCAGAATTGAGATCATCTCAAATGGATGTGATTTGAGTGAGATATGAACAGAATACTATATGCCGGGTGAATGTTGGCATCAGAAGTTCGATGCTTTCGATGTTATTGATGTCGGGTCTTGATGCTTTCAGGCATGAACATGTAGATAGCCCTCAATCTCAGGGGTGTGGCAGAATTCACATTGTCTCAAACAGATATAATTTGAGTGAGATATTTGCACCATACTATGTATATACTGGACTACCGAGTGCTGAGTGCTGAGTTTTGAGTTCCGAGTTCCGAGTGCCAAGTGCCGAGTTCCGCGTGCCGAGTTCGAGTGCCGAGTGCCCCGAGGCCTTCGGGTATTAACAATCCAGATAGCCCACGCTCTCAGGGGCCCATCAGAATTTAGATCATCTTAAACGGATGTGATTTGAGTGAGATATGAGCAAAATACTATATACCAAGTGAATTTTCACCATCAGAAGTTTGATGCTTTTGATGTTATTGATATCAAGCCTCGATGCCTTCAGGCATTGACATGCAGATAGCCCTAGATCTCACGGGTCTGGCAGAATTTAGCCCATCCCAAATGGATAAGAGTTGAGTGAGATATGAGCAAAATCCCATATACTGTGTGTATTTCAGCATTGTAAGGTCAATGCTTTCCATGTTTGCAATGTCTAGCCTCAATGCATTCAGGCATTCACAAGCAGATAGAACTTGATCTCAGGGGCCTGTCACAATTCAGATCGTCTCACACGGATAAGACTTGAGTGAGATATGAGCAAAATATTACATATCAGGGTGATTTTTGATGTCAGGCCCTTGCACCAAGGGTAAGCACATAGCACAACAGGAATAAATCCTGTTGTCCTAGTATCCTTATATATTGCATATACTATTGAAGGGATGTTGGGGATCATATTTTTGCCTCAAACAGACATGATTTGAGGGAGATATGAGCAAAATACAATTTATTGGGTGTGTCTGAGCTTCGCAGGTTCAA